ACACTTATGAAAGCCTGTGGTTTTTAACTAATTTTATAATATTTTAACAACTTAAATGTAAAATCTATTATAATTAATGAAATAAAAAATATTGTATTAAAAATTCATTTTTCATCGAAAAAAATTTTTTTTGCTTTCAGAAAATATTGTCCATATTCATAAAAACAACTAAAAGCAAATAAAAGCATTTGAAATTAAATAATATCTTTGTTTTATTGAGTTTTGTATGTTACAATTCAGAGCTGATTTTCAGGTATTGGGTATCCAATTAAAAACAAAAAAAAAAAAATGATTTGCATTCCTCAAAGCCCTGTGCTTTTAATTATTGTAATCACTAAAACCGATGCGATCAATTTCTAGCGTTTTCATAAAATTAGTTAGGGGGGGTAATAAATATTTTTAAAAAATATTTCTACCATGACTTTCATAAAAAAAACATATAATAATTTCGATCATCTGTGAATAGTTCCTGAAAGTTTCATTAACATCCGATAATTATTTCTATTTTTGCACGATTTTTCAAATTAATGTGTGTCATACCAAAAAAACGTGCTAAAAATTGTCTATGTTATTTACTAGTTCCGCTGATACAAATAGAAACAAGGTTTTTTTAATCAAAATTTAGAATTTTCTAAAAAGAAGGAAAATTTTTTTAAAATAATTAAAAAAAAACTTTGGTCTTTCCTCTAAATAATAACATAAGCATTTAGACAATAAAATTTTGTTTTCGGCAAGGTTGGCATCATTTTCATCAAGCTATGCTCTTTTTTTAGCGATTTCGTGGAGGTACCTAACTTATCAGATGCCTATCTCCAAATTCCCGTCGAAGAGGAATGTTCGAAGTTACTAGGGATAAACACGCATAGAGGGTTATTCAAGTACAACAGGCTTCCTTTTGGTATTAAAGTGGCACCAGCCATTTTTCAACAAGCTATGGACGTCATGCTGAATGATCTAGACTTTGTGTGTGCTTACTTAGACGACATCATAGTAAGGAGCGAATCGGTCGACGAACATCGAGAGCATCTCAATCAAGTATTTAAAAAGATTCAGGACTTTGGATTTAAAGTCAAAGAGTCAAAGTGCGAATTTGGTTTGGAGGAAATTAAGTATTTAGGGCACATAATCAACAAAAATGGTAGATGTCCAGATCCGGAAAGGTCCATTGCGATTAGAGACATGCCGACGCCCACTAATGTGGCGATGCTACAAAGTTTTCTAGGGCTTGCAAATTATTATCAAGCGTTCATTAAAGGAATGTACAATTTAAGAGCTCCGTTGAATGAACTGCTAAAAAAGACAAGGCATGGGAATGGACGGTAGAATGTCAGAAAGCCTTTGATGAAATAAAAAGAAAATGCTTACATCCGACCTCTTTTTAACCCATTACAATCCAAAACTGGATATTGTAGTGGCAAGTGACGCTAGTTCATACGGGATAGGAGTGTGTATTCAACACATAATGCCAGATAGTTCTAGAAAACCAATTGCACATGATTTTCGAGAACTTTGCTCCCAGGAGAAAGAAGTTACTCTCAGATAGAAAAAGAGGCACTGAGTATCATTTTTTCCATACAAAAATTTCAATAGGTACATCCACGGCAGACATTTTATCCTTGAAACGGATCATAAACCACTGATCACTATTTTTGGTTCAAAGAAAAGGGTTACCCGTTTATACAGCAAATCGTCTGTTAAGATGGGGAACCATTCTTCTCAATTATGATTTTCACATAAAGCACCTATCATCCAAAAAGATAATTCATGCGGATAGTCTATCAAGACTAGTACCGAGTCAAGAAGAAAGATTCAAGAATCAATTATTGCAAATATCAGAGCAGATTATGAGGTGAAAAGCATGGTAAACAACATTGTAAGAGAGCTACCGGTTACGCTAAATGAAATTAAAAAGAAGCTAAAAGCGATGATTTCATTTTAGGAATTAAAAGCAAAATGGTAGCAAATGACCAAAAAGTGCAGGAGATTTATTCAATAGGTGATGGAGTTTTATTATATGGTGAGAGAGTAGTAATACCAAAAAAGCTGCAGAAAAGAATACTTCGGGACTTTCATATGGGTCACCCGGTATTAATAGAACAAAAAGCTTAATGAGAAGCTTTGTGTATTGGAAAGGAATGGATGTGGATATCGAAAAACATGGTTCATCGATGTAAAATTTGGTGTGCGTTAGCAGCTAAGGCACCACCTATAGTACACAAACCATGGCCCAAGACGGATCATCCGTGGACAAGATTACACATTGATTTCGCTGGTCCAGTAGAAGATTTTTTACTACTTAATAGTGGTAGATAGTTTTACAAAATGGCCGGAAGTACTACGCTGTAAAAAGCCTACGTCCAATACCACAACAACTTTTTTATTGAACTATTTGCATCAAAATTTGGTGTGCCAGAGTGTATTGTGAGTGACAATGGTACACAATTCACTTCTGAAGAATTTAAGGAATTTTTTTTGAGTTATATCAAATTAACCACATAACGACGCCTCCGTATCATCCGAGGTCTAATGGACTGCAGAAAGATTTGTCGATACTTTAAAGCGAAAATCTGAAGAAAGCCTCAGGAGTTCCAACGGAAAAGGCGCTTCAGCAATTCTTACAAGTATACAGAATCACGCCAAACCAGAGAACACACTCAAACATGGCACCAGCTGAACTAATGTTCGCTAGGAAAGTTAAGTCAGTATTTGACAAGCTTTTGCCAGGAAAAAATAGAGTAAAAAAATACCATGTATACAGCGAAAAAAAAGATACACTCCCCGGAGAGAAGGTGTTTTTCAAGTGCTATAAAAACAACGTTGAGTTCTGGGAACGAGGCATAGTGGACAAGAGAATCGGTGACCTGATTTACATAATTAAAGGGCGAAGAATACTCATAAAAGGCACCAAAACCAACTTAAAAAGATTACGGTATAGAGCAAGAAGAGTGTATACCGGATGAGGACGAAGATCCCATTGATATAATGTATGATATGTTTCAGGTAGAACCTCCACAGAATACACCTGAACCAAGAAGATCCGGTAGGAAACGGAAGTTGACGGACCCATTGGACGTGAATCCAAAACGGAAAAAATATTAAAATTAGGCAAATGGATCTACAAAGAAATAGCCATAATCATCAACCCATATAGGAAGCCAATTTGAAATCCAAAAGGGATTCCAAGGCTTGGGAGGAGGGTGTTGTGGTACGATACACCTAATTTACATAAGTGGAGTACCGACCATATAAATATGGGTTGGTACCGGGAAGATGGGGGGAGTAAGAAGAGATCGAATCCAGAGACTCTGCCCGACTGCGATTTAGTCAACCCATTATGCAGGAACAGTCTTCCCAAGAATATACCAAAACTAACTGTAAATATTGTGTACCTTTTCCTTGTTTCAATACATTTTGTTTACGTACATTTTGTGTTGTATTATTATTATTCCATGCTTATCCAAGTTTCAATAGTAATAATAGTTGTGAATAGTTTAAATTCAGATAGAAGGCCTTTTAGGACCATGGCTATAACTTACCCTGATGTTTTTAATAAAGTTGCAGCATTTTCAGTTCTAATAATATAACCATTAATACTTTTGCCACTTGCTTTTTTGTAGAGTGGTTAATTCAGTATACAGAGAAATTATTTTTGGTTTCTCTTTTGATAAGTAGAATTTGCATGTTTTTCTGCCATTGTCAGGGCCTTTCTCTCTTCTGTCATCAAAAAAGTGAATTAACTTGGTGAATACATTTGCATTCTTTTCACAGTACTCTTCATCATTGGGACAATCAGATGGTGCTAAGATCATTTTGTGTAATTTTTGGATTTTCATGTATCCTAAAAATTTTACTTTCCATAATTCATATTTGGATTTGTTGCCATTGAAACAGTCTATTTCTGTGCCCATTAATCTGTGCAGTAAATGTACATGGTCAAGTGTAATTGGCAAAAATACTCAACAAACTGAACTGACAAAGCTTCCAATAAATAAAAAGAAGATAAAGAATAGGGAAAAATAATACCAAGCAAACAAATATATATATATATATATATATATATATATATATATATATATATAGGAAAATGAACAAGTAGGAAACAGATCTTAATGTAACATGTTTCACTTAAAGCTTTGTCATATTATATATGCAAGACAAACTAGACAAAGTAACAGTAACAAGGTAAGGAAAAAAGTTCACAAAATAAGAATGGTGTTCACATGCAAAAGGTATTCAGTTAAGTGATTGTAGCATTCTGACTTCAAGACAAGAAAGAACAAAAATATGGTGGAGGAGATTGAGAAGTGGTTGATTTTTATTGGTTAGGAAGCAAAACCAGCATGCATCTATAAGATCTGTCTATAAATGAGGGGAGGAGACATTTTTAGCAAACATTCCTACAACTGAAACAAACATAATCTAATTTGTTTGAGGTATATTTCATGAAGTTATTTCATGTTCAGTTATAAAACAAATATCATTTTGTATAAAATAAGATTTATTGATTTGATGTTGGGTGAATATCCTTTAAATGTGATTTCAGATTTTTTGCCAGGTATTGTATAAAGCAAAAAAATCTTTCCAATGTGATCAAAATATTTTTTTACTGGTACACAATCATCATCACCAGCTGTATGGTAAATAATCAAAGAGTAAACAATGGTTCATGAAAAAAATTTTGGATGTAAGAAATAAAATTCATGAACAAAATACCAAAGTATGTTTTTTTTTTTTAATGCCATGTCCCTTCAAGATGTAGGTGATCATGGCTCTCCATATATTCTTTTCCTTTATCTGTGAATTTCTTAGAAAGATAGGGGAATGGTTTCTTGTTGCCTTCTCCATTGTTTGGAATTCAGAGTTTTCATTCTTACAGTAATTACCACTCAAGGCTAGTCTACCCTGCTATTTAATCCATAAATGGCTAATTTAAATTTAAAATGCATTAACATATTCATTAACATTTTAAACAGATAAAATAATAGATGCAAAAGACTTACCTTAAAATTAATGCAAGTGAGACCAGGAGAAAATACTGCCACAGTTTTTTTACCTTTTGTTTTAGTTTCACATTTTGAGATAGAATATTTGTTATTTTCAGGAGGTGATTGGTTGTCCTGAAAGAGATATTCATAGAAAACCTTTAAAATAATGTTCAGACCTTCAGATGAATATGATTTATCCAACTGCATCTATCATATGATTCAGCTTAAAAACATTTACAATCTGTAATCAAAATATGTTGGTTTTAGGTTGGAATTACAAAAGAATGATCAATAACCATCTTAGGTTAGAACTTCTTTTTTCTAACTTTGAAGATTTACAGTTTATTTAAAATGCAAAAAAACTGGAGGCCTATTTCAAATCTCACGGTTTCACTGGGAAAAACACATTTTAGTTTCGGTTTGCAGCATTTCAGTGTTGTAGTTGGTATTCAAAGAAATATTTTGCTTTTATACTTGGATTAATTTTAACTTATTTAATTGAAACAAGTATAAAATTCATTTATTTTATTTACTTCAGATTTACCATATTATTTTATGTTTATTGCAAACAAATTTATTTTGTGCAAAATTCACTAAGAAAATAGAATTTAGGAATCTTAGCCTTATCACTTGAATGTTTATTTAACATTTTTCTCTATGAAATTATTATTCATAAAAACAAATACACTTATGATAAATTTTACTTTTTGTGTAATCTGTATCTCATTTTCTAACAGGTACAAATGTTGAATTTTTACCACACTTTTTATACAATACTTTAAAATTTTGATTTAACATGATTTGAAGAAATAATTTATTAATCTAATTTTTCTAGACATTCTTACAAATGTTGCAAAGACTTTCCCAAATAAGTTAATTTTAATTATTTGTTAAGTTTAATTTTTAACAGACATTTTTCTTCCAAAATTTTTTTCTTTGATTCTGTCTTTACACTGAAATTTATTCTAAAATGGTATTATTTGTTACTCTCACTCTTATTTTATTTTTGAAAAACAAACTGGCATTTTATTGACCTCCCCATACTGTTTTAACATTTTACTTTAAGATACTGTTATTCATAAATATATTGATGACAAAATTTAATGTTTTATGAGTAATTTGTGTTTTTCTTTCTAAAAGTTATTTAAAAAAAAGGATGTTGAATTTTAGTTTAGTTTGCCATTAGGAAATAAAATAGAAGCAAATATAATATTTTAATACTACAAAATTAATGAAAAAGTTATTTAAGAAGGTTGTTATGTAAAGTTAATGTCATAATTAAATCCAATATTTTCAGATACTGTAAACAAATACAATATATGGAATATTAACACTAACCTTACTGTTAAGCCATGCAGTTTTAGGTCAGTTTTTTTCTCTAAGAATCATAAAAAGTATATTTATGACAAAATAAGTCAGTATAACAATAGTTAATTTATTTCTAAGTAATAGAATAATTTACTTTATGTCATATTTTTGTTCCAGAATTCATAGTTTAAATATGGTTCTTGTTTCATTAAAATAGTTTTAGCATGGATAATTAATTCAAAATTAAAACGCATCTATTTCGTACACTCCTGTTAACAGTGATGGATCCAAAACTTTGCCAAATTATATATTAATTATAATATGACCCTAGTAAAGAAAAAATATACCAAGATGGAGAGAAGTAACTTTGAGTTAAATTATGCTCTTAATCTCTACTTTTTTCTCTTGATAATTGTGATCTAGTTAGCTTAATGTATCTTTTCAGATATTACTGTATTTGACTGCATATAAGGTGCACTTTTTTTTACTAAAAATATCTTTTAAAAATTCCCCGGCATCTTATATGCAATATGTAGGTTTAAAATTTGTGATAGTCAGCCGAAATTAGCTACCTGGCAACTCCTATTAGCTTAGACTTTAGAGTAACTTTCATATAACTATTGTCATTATTTAAAAAGCTATTATGCAGATTAAAAGTGTTATCATTTATAATATTCATTATATTAATTTCATCAGGTTTGTTTCACTAAAATTATATGCAATAATTCAAATTATTTATTTGTAAAATATATTTGTTTCATTAATATTTTTCTTGTGATATCTTCCGGATGCACTGGTATAAATACAATAAAAATTTTTATATCCTAATTATTCCATTAAGATGTTTACAAGAGGTAGGTTGCACAGATCATATAAAGGAAAATTTTTAACTGAATTTCACTCCTTCATTGTATGACAACAGCAAGAAAGAGGTTAAGCTACACTGTTGCATACAAGCTTCATGTAATAAACTATGCTAAAGAGCATGGAAATAGAGCAGCTGCAAAATATTTTGATACGTTACTGGTGGTTGCAGGAAAATAACCTACAGGCAGTGAAGAAAGGAAACTGTAACCTTTACCACCCAACCCCACATTGGCCTGAAATTGAAGAAGAAATTAAAACATGGGTTGTATATGAGAGGAGTACAGGCACAATCATTACTATGAAAATGATAAGGAATGAGGCTAGAAGATTAGCAAATGTAAAGGGGATTCAAAACTTTATAGGAACAAAAGGATGGTGTTTTATTTTATGAAACAGGAAGTTTTGTCAATGTATAAAAAAACATCAACTGCACAGAGAATGCCAGCTGGCTATGATGACAAAATAGTAAAGTTTCATAAATTTGTTATACATGCTCGAAAAAGAACTCCTTTTGAACTAGATCAGATAGGAAATATGGATGAAGTCTCACTAACGTTTGATGTTCCATCAAACAAAACTGAGTATTAATGGATCCAAGTCTATTACAATAAAAACCACAAACTATGAGAAGACCCATTATACAGTCATTCTTGCATGTTGCATTAATGGCACAAAACTGCCTTTATTTTCTGATTTTTAAGAGAAAAACTACACTGAAAGATAAAATACCAAAAGGTGTGCAAATTCATGTTTATCCAAAAGGCTGGATGGACGAAGCTGGTCTACAGTTATCGCTACAAGTTGTATGGGAAAGATGTCCCAGTGGACTATTATGAAAGCCCTCTCTTCTGGTTTGGGATCAGTTCTGAGCAGATAGGATTGAATCTATTAAAAAGAAAGTATCAGAATTGAAAACAGAGATAGCAGTTATTCCTGGTGGACTAACGAGCCAGTTGCAACCTCTGAATATGTCTTTGAATAGACCATTCAAGTAAAACAAAAGGAGCAATGGAACACGTAGATGGCAATTCCTGATCATGACCTTACACTTACAGGAAGAATAAAAAGACCCAGTATTGCACAAGTCTGTGAATGGGTGAAGCAAACTTGGGATAGTATTAGACCAGAAATTGTTGTGAAATCTTAAAATCTCTCAATGGAATGGAAGATGACGCATTATTTAACAACAATGATATTAGTATTGAAAATGAGTATCAGAGTTTTGACAACGAAGATAACAAATTTTATGGATTTGAAGATGAATAAAATTTTAATAGTAGCTGTACTGCTCAATTGTAATAATTGCTTGATTTTTATTTTGTTTTCTTATGCTTGGATATAATAAAGTTTTTATAGGCTTCTTTTTTCTTATTATTTTTCATTTAATTGTAATCATGACTTGTTTAACCAAAATAATACCTCATAAATATAGCATAGGCTGTACCATTTACTAATAATTTTACTAATTTTTTCTTGATTTGCTCTGCTGAAATTGGGGTGCATCTTATATGCTGTCAAATACGGTACCTAGTTTCCAGCAATACCCCATAAGTATTGCATCTTTGCTTGCAAAATGAATTACAAAAGTCAACAAGACAAAACAGTGTGGGGAGGTCAATAAAATATCTGTTTATTATTTTCCAAAAGCAAAATGAGAGAGAGTGAGATGGAGAAAAGTGGTTCTGAATGTTAATCTAAATGTTACAGTTAATACTATCATTTGTCAACTACGCTGGGCTTCAAACTTTGATAAAATAAAAGTTCATTGAAAAATGCACCCACAAAATCCACCAATTGTATGGTTAAATAGTAAATAACATCAGTTGTTCAAAGGAATAGCAAGTCTACAGTACTGTTTGAAACCAAGTGAATGGTGAAATGAATGTTTTTTTTTTTTTTGGAATTAGATAAAAATATATGTATTTCAAAGAAAAGTCTTATAAACAACAAAATAGACTGTGTATCCAGTTGTAGCATTTTTGGTTGAAAATATTTTAACTGTTCAGTATTCAAAATTTGTCAAGTGTTCCTTTATTTATGGCGAGAATTTATGAAAATTTGTGGTTTGAGAACTTTCATTATTGGATACAGTGTTAAATGAGTAGCCTGTTCAAAAATATTGAATGAATACAGTTGATACTTGGTCAAAATTGGAAGAAGTTATCTGTTATTTAAATTCCATGGATTTTGATCAGTTTTCAGCAATGGCCCTCAAAATGGTGAGAATGAAATACAGCCGAGAAATAAGCAGATATGCTTTTGAGTACTATGCAATATAACATTCACTGTACAATAAATTAAAATCAAATTTTCAGCAACATTAACAAGGATTGCATCAAAAATTAAAAAAAAAAATGAATGAAAAATCCTTTCTTTTGTCTGTGTTGAATACTCTTAAGGCCAGTCAAAAAGTTTGCATAATTCTTCATTTTAACAGTTCTCAAATGGTGATGTTGAAAGAGTCTAGAAAGTTTGGAAAATGTTAAAGCTTTGGTGAACTGTAGTAAGATTATTTATTTAAAAAAGAATTTCAATGAGCAATATGAATATTAATGTTATTAAAAGCAATCAAAAGGGAAGTTTTAAAGTGATAAAAATTGAGCAAATTAAGATTGCTGGAAGTGGAGTTTTTATATTAAAATGTTTTCAGATTCAGCTATTAAAGGGAGAAATATATTGACAGTTTTATTGTTTTAGTTTTCCTGCTGATGAGATGAGAAAAACTGTAAGCCAAGATTCTGGAATCGGTATTGAGAGATTAGGGAACACAGCAATCCAATGTTAAATTAATAAACAACATTAGAAAATAAAAGGATTAAAGATGGCACAGATACTTGAAAGATCTTATTTGTGAGATAATTAGAAAAGAAAACATTAGTTTTAATACCACTGCTTATATACATTAAAAGGCAAGCATTATCCTGGCAATTATGGGTTCAATCCCTGTAAAGTGCAAAGTAAAGGTTCAATTACAAGGTACAACCAGATATAGAAAAAAAGCAAAAGATAAGCATCACAAACACATCTCAGTAAGAAGGCTGATTAACTCATGGAATTTTCTAGTTGCAGTCATTCAACTGTATCCATATAGCCATTCTTTATCTTCTGTGATACATTGTTGTTTTTATTCACAGCCACTTGCAGAGAAAATCTGTTATTCATTAAAAAAAAAACAAAAAAAACAAGAAACAGAAAAGTTGCAGAAAAGGAACCAGATGAACAAATGATTTATTGAAAAAACCCTAACAGCTAAAAGAAAAAAAGAACATGGATTGACTACAAAAAAGTCAATGACATGATCTATCAATCTTGGATAATAGAATGTTTAAACATACTCAAAATTATACAATATAGTCAAATTTATAACCAATGCAATGAAAACCAAACACTAAGTGTAAAATGAGAATCACTAGTCAATGTCAACATAAAAAAGACTCCCTATCCCATTACTTTTCAGAAAAGCAATGATACTACTTAATAGTAAAATTGTAAAAGGTGAATATAAATTTAGTAATTCATCAGAAAGACAACTATTTGTTATCCATGAACAATGACAAATTTGCTGAAAGTAAAACTGAACTGGAAACAGTGGTTCAAAGTCAGAAATTTAAACTAAGACATTTTAACATTGTAATAGAATTCAGAATTGAAAAATATCCAATGTTGGTAAAATAAGGAAAATAGGAATTAGCAGGAATCCAACTAGTCAAAAATGAAATAATCAAAACACTAGATAGAAAGAAAATTAGAAATTTCTTGAAATACTGAACAGATTCAATTAAACAGAGTGAGAAGAAGAAACATCTTAAAGAACAAGGAGTTTTGTAAAGAAGAATCACCTACAGAAACCTTATAAAAAGGCATAAATACATGAATAGTGATAGATATTTATTACCACTCCTGGACAGAAAAAACAAATATTTATGACCATGCATAAAGCCTTACACCTAAGAAATGATAGTGAAAAGAATGATAAAGAGAATTCAACAGTACTGAAGAGTATATCAAAGGGCTTGAAGATTACACACAGCAGAGCAACAAGAGATTAATTATGACAGAAGCAAGTAAAAGGAATTGCAAACAAAAATCAGGGAATAGTTGAACAGAGGACATTTGCAGAGAGAAATAGAATCACAACAGCAGCTCAAAACAAGTGAGAGACAAATAACAGAATTGTAAACATTACAAATGGGTGCTGAAAAGCTCTGAGCCCAAGCAAAAAAACCTGATTGCGACACTGAGGCAGTGAGGTGGTAAAACATTAATTCTAAACAGAAAATGGGTTAAGCCCAAAATGAAATATAAACTGAAGGATAGAGAGATAGAAAGAGAGAATGGAAGACATTTTCCTTGGTAATGTGGAAGTAAAGAAAGGGCCATCTGGGTTGAGTTTATTTTTTTTATCTATCGAAAATCTGGTATGTGAGTAAAGCATATTGGGAAATGGCTTTATCTCTTTCCTGGGAAATTAGAAAAACACATGTCATTTGCAAAAAGGGAAACAGATGAGAATTATATTTTTGTTAGCGAAAACGAGTTGAGAAATGAAGACAACAAACCCACTGTGAGGATAAGAATTATGAAAATTGATCTGTCATAACAGGCAGGTGATCTGGTTTATGTTTTTGCTAAGATGGTAACCAGCCCAAGGATGCAAAACAGTTGTCGCTCTTTCTCTTTTTTTTTTGAAGAATTTAGGTAAACAAATATATTTTTATTGATGAAAACAAATTGGAAAATAATTTTTATCTATTGCTTGAAAGGTTAAAATGAGAAGGAAGGTGCAGAATTTAGCCCCACCAGTGTGGAGATGTGGTGCGAGATGTGAAGTAAAGAGGGTTGAAAAAGGAGGAATGATCCTTGTAACTACTCCTAAAGAGGGTGGAAAATTGATTATAGAAGTAGAAATAGGGAACAAAGAAAACCTTTATTGGGATTAATGAAAATTGGGGAATCACTGAATCCCCAGAGCCCTTCAGCCCCATGACAGTATTGGGTTGAAGTGCATATAAGCTCAGAGACTTTAGGCTGAGATCACGCACTGAGTGTCTCTGATGATAATTATAGAAGCAGTCATTAGTTATTCATAGTTTACTTCAGTGATTGTTGTGATTAATCTCTGTAAACTTATTTTAGTGTATAGGGCATCCAACAAACCAAATGATATTGCTGTGGTTTTAATAGCAACTGAATTTTTAGAAAGTCTAGATATTAGGTCCAACACCAAAGATGAACTGGCTAAAGGGCTCCAAATGTTTGACTATAATTTACTTGTAGTGGAGTGGATGGGAAGCAATTTCATCACTTTCATAAGGGCATAAGTGCAAGGTTAACAAACTAACCCAACTAGAGTTTAAATGCAGTTTGAAAATTCCATTCTGTTCTTTTAACAGTTAGGCTACCTTCACTTCACCTTCAGGAATTTACAATAGGAAACTTGATAATGGGGGATAAAATGTATCGGGTTGCAAAAAGAATTTGGGGACGTAAGAATCATCTGTTACATTAACAAATATGATATTAGCAGAAGTGGAAATCTGAGCTGGTAGAGGGAATAAGATAACAGCATTATTAAGCATGAAGTGTGTGTGTGTGTATATTTAATACAATGATTCCTAAATGTGTGATTATTTACAAGTTATGTTGATCAGAAGTTTTATTAGGGATATTTGTTAAAAAAGGGATTTAATAAGTACATAGAATTTAAGCTATAACCACGTATGTCTATCCATCTATTATTCAATCTCAACTAACCTGAAGTAACACGCAATAAAAAAATTAAATAAATAACTCATTTAAAGTTAAATTTAAATATTGAACAGAGTGAAATGTTTAAAAAAAAAAAAAAAAAAAAATTTTCTTAAAAGGTTTAACTTTGCTTTTCATCACAATTGCAGTTGATATTATCTAATTAGTAATTAAAACTTAAGTTACTTTACATTAGTTGATCATGTTTTTTTCTTTGTACATGTACTGTGACATATTCAAAATATTACATAAAAGACATGGAACCTGAACTGTAACTTTATGTGAAATGATCATAAAGAAGGGTGATTTTAAAAGAAGAGAAAAATTGCGTGCAAAATAAATGTAAACAAACTGGTGACTGGTTGGGCATACGAAGAAAGATTATGCCGAATTAAGGTGTCAGATAAAGATAAAATAATTTGATTATTTCTAAATTCTTATAGATTTTATATACATAGGACACTGAAGATAAATTGCTGAAGGCCCAAAAGCTCTCTGCAGGAGCTAGCCTAAAGTCCGCCCAAACGATGGCTTATAAGGCTAGTTCAGACATAAACCCTATCTGATGTCATCAAAATTTAATAAGCCATTTTAAAATTGAACAAATCTTATAAAAATTGAATAAGTAGAATAATAGCAGCTACAAAGATCTAATTGAAAATAATAGACAAAGCAAATTCTAAAGAAAAAATAACTTTCCATAAAGTATTCATTTTATTTATACAAAATCTTTGGCAATCTAAGAGCAATCAAGACATTTTCATAGTTATTATATTTACTGCCAATCACCATTATTAAATTGCAGTTATTAAAAGTCAATTGTAATTGTTAAAAATAAAGCATTTTTATAGGAGAGGGTAAACAAAATGCAAAATTAAAATATTGAAATTTTTCAAAAGAATGTTTCTATTGAAATTTTAACTTACCTGAATAAACTTAGAAAACATTTTCCTTTTTCTTTCATTTTCGCTGATTTTTTTCATTTCCTAGGAGAAAAGAATAACATGAAAAATATAAAGTATCAGCATTAAATTTACTAAAAAAATTATTTTCAAATATGCATACAGAAATATTTCTAAAAAAATAAAAACAAAAATAAACTTAATTGTCAAATAAACACTTGAATTTGAAAACTTTATGAAAAATCAATTAATGGATTTGAATGTTAAATTTGATATTTATTCATTTAATACTAAAATTATGTATGAAAAGGTCACTATATCTATTTTTTTATAACCCCCCACCTCCCACACCCAATGCTCTTATTTAATTTTAGGATGCATCAATCCAAAGTCCGGCATTTATATTGTGGAAAGATCAGAAGAATTTAAACCAATTTCATTTATTCTGAGAAAGGAATTAATTCACTGAATTTTAAAATGATAAACAAGAGTACTGATTTATCATCTTTTTATTTCAAATATTAAAATTTTAAATTTAAAATTATTTATTTTAATATTTTTGTTTTATCTTAAGTGTTTTATCATTAATATTCCACATAAATGTAATTTTTATAAATTAATGATGTATTAATAATCTAAAACTGTAAGAATTGTCCAAAAATAGAAGAATTTAAAAAAACTGCTTTTGTTAATTATATATTATGCATTCAGTATACAGAAGCCACTTACACAATTCATGATTTTAAAAAAATGACAAAAAATAAACCTTAACAGCTAAAGTATTTTCTTCACTGAAGATGATATGGTAAAGTATGCTTTTTTTTTTTTTTATAACAGATCAAATAAACAAATTTCTAAGAAAAACAAAACAAAACTATATATATTATGCACACACACACACACACATTTACAAAATACTTATTCAGAAAATGTATATTTTTTATATTGATGGACAAACTTTTCTTCATTTCAACTGGAATAAAATATAGTGATTCCAAGGAGTATTATCTAAATAATATGGTTGCTAAAAAGGGGGTTATAACTACAATTATCACTTTTTTATCAGTAGATCTTTTTAGCATACAAGCATTTTAATTATCCTGTGTTGACATCTAGAATGCAGTTTTATTTTTGTTGTTTTTACTTATCTGTACATTGTCATCCACAAATAACTCAAAGAAATACTACTTTCAATTAGACTGGAGGTGCCAAGCAATAAAATTTCTACAGAATTAATCAAGAGAAGGAATCACATTGGGCCTCATATTTCTTTGGTGACAAGGTAAAAATTATAGCATAGCTGGCATTTGTCACATTCATCTGATATTGCATATTTAGATTAAAAATTATTCTTAATGAAAAGAAAAAAAAAAATTAAATTATTTCCCAGTAAACTATAAAAAGGTTCCCAGAGCAGTTTTTTTTTTTATTGTGAAAGATAAAAAGTTCTGGTGAGGATGAAATTGTGAAAATAATGGAATATAAAATATGTACTTTAATAAAGCTAATGTGAAAAATAAAAAAAGTCATTAACTTAAATCAAATAGACTGTCTATATTTCTAAGATGAGGCATTATGTACATTATTTACATTATTCGGACTATTGTCCTCATCTTTGTCGCCATATTTATCACAACGTTTCGGCCGCTGTACGCTCCGACCTTCTTCAGGTGGTTGGAATTTCGAACTGAACCCTTTATTTCACTCACTGGGGTAGACTGTTCTAGTTCCACGTGCCATGTTTGATGGATGTCAGTTATCAGTTATCTCCTGCTAATTTCCCTCTGAAAGTTCTCCACTGCCTTAACCGTGTATTGAACTCACACTCTTTGGGTCCTGTCGCTGGATCTAACCAACACCTTTATCCATTGTGTCCTTGATGACATCTGGGTATGAATTTCTGGCTATTATAAACCTAATGTCTTCAGCAACCTTTTTACCAGTGCTCATATTGCAATTTTGCTGTTATCATTGCATGTTTTTACCAGAGCTCATATTGCAACTTTGTTGTTTACTGGTTCCCATATTGTATTTATTTCTATGCTTGGTCGGCTCAGGAGATTTTTGTGGCCTAGCATATGTGCTGATTCCTTAAGTTTATGAATTTTCCAATGGTGTTCCCTGTCTATGATCTCAACATGATCCCACAGAGGGTGGTGATCTCCCTTCTCTCACCATATGTGGTCAGCCACACCTGATTTTTCTACTTCCCCTCGTGTTACAGCTTTTTGGTGTTCTTGAAGCCTTACCTTGAGAGGGCGGCCTGTCTCTCCTTTATATTCCTTTCCGCAGCTGCACAAGATAGCGTTATACAGTCTTTAGTCATGTTCTCCTCTATGGGGGATCTTACTCGGGAGAGATATCTGTGAAGTGTCGTCAAGCTTTTGAAGTTTGTCCTGATGTTATATGGACCACAGATCCTTTGTATTTTCTCTGATAACCCCTTCACATAAGGCAGGCAGTCTGTTTTCTGAGTGTTGCTGTCCTCCTCCTCTTGCACCCGCCTATCCCAGTTTTTTGGGGCTGCTGCCATGTACCCAGGGTAGTTGTTACGTTGTAGGGTACTACTTATACTGACCAATTCTTTATCTAATGTCTCTGGGTTGCCACTTATGACTTTTGCTCGGTGTTGTAAGCAACGGACGATCCCTTTCTTTACACTGTATGGATGGTGGGAGTTGAAATTGAGGTACTGTCTGGTGAATGTCGGTTTGGTTTATATAGGATGTCTTAAACCCATGCTCTGTTCAAGATATTAGAACATCCAGGAATGGGAGTGTGTTGTTACTCTCTTTCTCCATTGTGAACTGTATCGAAGGTCTTATTGAGTTCACATAGTCCAGTAGAACCTGAACATCTTCCTGGTGTGGCCAGAGTATGAAGGTGTCATCTACGTTCCTTAACCATATAGTTGGCTTTAGAGATATTGATTCTAATGCCATTTCCTCAAAGTATTCCATGTATATATTCACCATTGCTGGTGATAATGGCAAGCCCATTGCTAAGCCCTCATCCTGTCAATATATGTGTGATCAAATAATTGTTTAATCATAGTATTACTGGTAATGGTAACAATAACACTGATTTACAAAAAAGCAATGGCAGAAGAATGCATACTACTTTCTGTGAGTCAGTAACACTACACTACAATGGTGTCACCAAGACCTAACAAACCAAATGAACAATTATCACTTGATAATTATGAATACTCACAAGTGTGACTTAGGATTCTTGCAGCTAAAGCTAAAACAAAAAGCTAAAGTATTCAAACTCTATCAGAGGAGAAAACCAAATAACATGCAACTAGATATGGGAAGTGATGTGATGTTGATACCCAGACATTTCTGGAAGAAATTAGGTAAACCAAGATTAAAGAAATGCCTATGTTCAATTGAATCCATGTTAAAAACATTAGGCTATTTTGAAGCCTATGTGGAACAAAAAATAAGTTTGACGTATAACCAAGCTGTATGGCAAACTGTGAAAAGAATCACGGTCTAATAGGAAATGATGTGTTGTACATAAATTCGGCAAAATTAGTGAATAAAGTCAAAGCAGAAGAAACCGTGATGTTAAAAAACTATGAAGTGAAGTTAAAACTAAAGGAAATTTTTTTTTATATTTTGAAGCACAAAAAAAGCCAGTTCATCTACTACCAATTGTGGAAAAAATAAAAAGTTACTGGAACAAGATCTACTGGAATGAGTTCCACTAGGAGGGAGCAAATGGGCCAACCCATTAGTAATTTTAAGAAAGAAGGGTGATAATCTGCACATTTGTAGTGACTACAAAATAGGTGTAAACCAAAAAAGATGTGCAGACTCATATCCTATCCTCAATGTAAAATGGGCTCTGAACTCCATGCAGGTATGAAAACATTCTTGAAAAAAATTGGCACACAATCAAATACCTATTGATGAAGACTTTAAAGAAGTTCCACCAATAAACACACCAATAGGCTTATTAAGATGGAAAAGAATGCTGTACGGAATTAAAAATGCAAGTGCAATTTTTCAAAAATGTAATATTCTACCAGGATGACATTTGTGTTGGTGCTATTAATGATGAAGAATTAAAATGGAAAACCAGTATGGTTTTCAATAACTTAAAAAATTCTGTATTATCAATTAATGAAAAAAATGTGTGCACAACACTAAAAAAAAACAAAAAAAAAACATAATTTTGGGGATATTCTATATCTAAGGAAGGCATATCTCAGACCAATTGTTAATTGACAAAATACTAAAAGTTGAAGTACCTAAGAACAAAAAAGAACTGAAATCTTTCTTAGGATTTGTAAATTTCTACAGATGATATGTAAAGTGATGCTCCAATCTGACAGAACCTTTTGTTATTTTAAGAAAAAAGAATGTGGAATTTATTTGGACAAAAAAGCAAGTGGCATTGAAAACTTAAAAGCTGTTCTGGCAAAGAAGTGAGTAGTAAAAATATTTGACCCTAGAAAGGAAATAGTAGTAACAACTGATGTGAGTGAACACTCAATTTCAGGCATATTAGCTCAGGATGGTCATCCTATTATAAATTTTTCAAGAAAATTGCCAAAGGCTGAATTGAACTACTCAAATATTGAGAAAGACGTGTTGTGCATAATATGCACAACAAACAGATTTCTACTAAGGTCCAACCATAGAACTTTAAAATTCATATTTAATCCTAGAAAGGAACTTCTTAAGGTAACGTCTTCTAGAATTTTAATATGGGCCTTAATGTTAATGGTATTTGACTTTAAGATTGAGTACATGAAAGGTAATACCATTCTGCATGTAGATGTTTTGTCAAGATTAAGGTTTATTACTTCTGAAAGTGTGAAAGAGGAGGAAAAATTCAAAGATATTTTCTGACATTGGGTTGAAACTGATATTTTGTTGATAGACAAATTTAATATACAAAGCAAGATCCCATATTGAACAGTATAAAAAATAATGTGGAATAATTGCTCATGGGCAGAAAGGCATTTTAAAGAGGTTAAACACATTAACTGTAGAAAAGGGTGTAATTTGTAATGGAGACATAGTGGTTCTGCCAGCAACACAAAATTATAAAAAGTATACATGATGATGTTCATTGCGGAATAACATATATGCAAAGAAGATTAAGGCTGGAGGCATGGTGACAAAATTATTCTACAGATGTAGAAAAATATATAAAAAAAGGTGTAAAATGTGCAATGATAGAAAATTTAGACAGACAAAATACATATATGGCCTAAGAACTTCAACCTTGGGACAGAGTACACATGGATCATGCCCACATTAATGGAGTGGGATTATTATTAATACTGGTAGATTCATATTCAGGCTGGCCAGAAGTAATACAGGTCTCCAATAAAAGAAGTTTGACTGTGAAACAAGTGTTAAGGATCATATTTTCAAGAAATGAAATTCCGAAAACACTAATATCTGACAACGCCCCAGAGTTCTGTGACAATGAACTATGCCAACTCTGGAACAAAATTGGATGCAAAGTGGACAGAGCACTATAATAGAAAAAAATGAAAATGGGATATTAGATTGCAACCTGATAGCAATGAAGAAATGTATATAGAAATGAAGGCAAAAGTGTCATGTCAAGGCAAGACAAGCTAGACAGTGAAATTGAGACTAATTTGAGTCTATATTATGATGAACAAGAACAATCTTTTAAGAAACACTCCTATAAAAAAAAAAGAAAAAGATCAAGATCTCCCATATCTAGACAATCTCTTAAAGAGAAGGCAGAGGATAGTGAGCAGACAAAAGCTCCCATAAGTACCAGTGAAAATAAGGGGATAAAAGCTCTTTGGTACAAGGAGATGAGGTAACTCATTTACATGTAAAGTCACAAAGACTATAAATAACTACGGATATTACCCATGAGTCAGTAGATTATGTACTACTGTGAGTCAGTAACACTACACTACATAAATAGGTGTTTAAGACCAATTTGTGGATACTGAATTCAAATTAATACTTGACATGTTGATGACATGCCAGAATGTCCTATTTTTATCAGTCCTGTAATGTCCTATACCTATATACAACTATTTTATATGTTGCATACATATTTATATTAAGATTTTGTGACAATTCATGTAATATGATATATAATATGGCATCAGACACATCAATACACTGATGATACATCAACAAGGCTGATTCATTCTGTTATATATGTGGGGATTACATGACAATAGCATATCGCCAAACAATTATTTCCCTCCTGAGAACTGCTTACTATTTTAGCTGTAAAATTAGAGATCAGGATAAATCTTGGGTCCCACAAATCTTTTTTAAACCCTGTTACAAAGAACTAACTACATGGTTTGATAGCAAGAAAGTGGTCTTTAACTTTGCCATCCCAATGATTTCGTGGGAATCACAAAACCATGCAGATGATTGTTATTTTTGTCTAACAAGTATAACTGGTTTCAATGTTTCTTCTAGAAAAAAAAAAAAAAAAACATACAACTTTCTCTCAGCTATGAGACCTGTTCCCCACTCAGATGGTCTCCCAGTCCCCCAGCAAATAAGGATCTTCCTTCATCAGATGAGGAAATACCTTCAGTGGAGGATCCGGCTAAATCTGTTTCTTCTGATGACAATGACAATTCAGGAGTAAGCGGCAGTGATCACTACTAGATCACCCAAGAAGATTTGAATGACCTTGTCCATGATTTGTACCTATCTAAACAGCAATCAGAGCTCCTGGCATCCTGGCTGAAGGAGTGGAACAGGGTCATGACAGATATAAGGATCAGCAGTTTCAGGACATGGAACAATGAGTTTGCCTCATTCTTCACATTGAAAACGGGTTGAGTTACTGTAAAAATGTCACTGGTTTATTCATTTCCTTTTGGCTTTTCACACAACTCCTCAGATTGGCAACTTTTCAGAGACTCTCCTAAGGAAATTCTGAAGGCTGTACTTCTGTACAATGTGAATAAGAACCTCGGCATAATCCTTGCCCACTCAATTCATCTGAAGATGTCGTATGACAATATGGAGCTCCTTTTGGGAGCTGTCAAGTACAAGCAGTAACAGTGGAGTCTCTGTATCTTGGTCTAATGAAGAATTTTGTCAAGGCCATGATCAAGAATGGTGTAGACTTCTAACACCTGTGCACTCTGTTCCAAATCTCAAAGAGGGTATCTTCATTGGACAAGATGCTGAAGGATAAGGAATTTGAGAAGATTCTTACCTTTGAGGAACTGAGAGCATGGGAAGCATTTAAGTTAGTTTACTATAGCTTCCTTCTCAACATATGTGCATTAGAATTAGAGTGTGTTGAGAAGTTGTTACAGGCTTATGAGGATATAGGGTACCAAATGTCACTCAAGATTCAATTTCTCCACTCCCACCTCAATTTCTTCCCTCCAAACCTTGAATCACTGAGTGATCAGCATGGAGAAAGGTTCCACCATGACATTACAAAGATAGAGAAAAACAATCAAGACAAGTGGTATCCTCATTATAATGGTGGACTTATGCTAGATGGTACTGTGTGACATCCTGGAGGCATAAAAAATCCAAAAACATTCACTTCTCACTGTCATACTATGATGTGTATATATTGTATTAACAAATAATAGTAGTATTTAGTTCTGTCAGTACACTGTATCTGTGTTGTGTTTTTTTTTTCTCTGTAGTATGCAATTTTTAATATTGTATGATGAATTATACTATAGTAAATTTTTAATATTGTATTATGAATTATACTATAGTAAATTTTTAATATTGTATTATGAATTATACTATAGTAAAAACCGATTATGTAAAAGCAAAAAAAAAAAATAGATGTGATAAAGAAAAACTTTGAAAATTTGAGTTCATCACATCAAAATTAGTAAAAATATGCTATTCACATGCTTTTCTCAGAGCAATTGTTTTTTGTAAACCAGTGTAATTAATAATGCATTTATTATAGCACACAAATAAAACTAGAATAGTTAAACTAGGTTTTCTTTTTCAATTTAAACAAAAGGAGAAATAGTAAGATGAAACCTTTAACATTTTCTGTTGAAGTTCATCTTTATAAGCTTCAAGAGCAATTTCAGTATTTGTGAGATGTCTGAAAATAAAAAAATGAAAAAAAGATAATAAAAAGAAAAGAAATCCCTATTATATCACATGAAAATTTTTTTCTCAAGTTTTCATTTTTTATTAGTTGAATATTTTAAAAAATTTCAGAATATTAATTTACGATGAAGATGTAATATTGTATTAAAATGACCAACTAATTATTACAAAATCCAGGCTAAATAGTAAAACAAAATCTACATTTAAATAAAAATCTGTTTCATCAGGTTATGCATTTCTTATGGTAGCATAAAAGACAAAAACTTTAATGAGTGAAATATTTGCCATTGCATGGTGTATGATATTTCATAAAGGCAGTAATGTAGATACCTCCACAAAAAAAAAAAAAAAAAATTTGCTAAAAAATAAGTATACCATGATGAAAAAAATGCTCAAAACTTAATGAATCATTTGTTAATCATTTGTTATTAAGAGGAAAGATCAAAGTGTTTTTTTGAATACATAATTATATTTTTTTTTAATCCTTTTTAGAACATTTGAAATTTTGATTAAAAATCTTTTTTCTTGTGTCAGCAGATGTACTATAAATTAGCATAGCAAATTTTAGTGTCTTCTTTTGCAGTGAAAGACACATTAATTAGGGAATTGCTGCAAAAATAAAATAATTGTCAGATTTTAATAAGTAACTAAAACTGAGATATCCAAATGCATGACACATGGAATTAGAACAAGCTACTATGTGGACTAAATAAAGTCTACGTAGTAGTTCAAAATTCCAATATCACCATAAGAAGGTTAGTGTGTTTAACAGCCAAAATGTCATGAATGTGATGAGAACAACAGTCCGAACAATGTAAATAGTGTAAATAAAGTGAATAGTTTATGGAAAAATATTTTTTTCTTTAGAATTTGCTTTGTCTATTATTTCCAATTAGATTTTTGTAGCTGCTATTAAATTATTCAAACTTATTTATCATGTAAATACATTTTCAAAGAATTGTCCAATTTTAGAACAGATTTTTAATTTGTCATGACATTAGATAGGGTTTCTGTTATTTACACTATTTACATGTGGACTATTGTCCTCATCTTTGTTGTTATCACAAACAAAACAAAAAAATTAAATTTAAAAAAATTTAAATATATTCAACATTAAAAATTTACTAAGTATTTTGTTTTTTAGTAGGAAAAGAAAAAAAACACATTTTAATCACATTTATAATAAGAAAATTAAATTGAGCACAGTCAAAAAAAAATAACACTGAAATTTATCAAATGTTTGCCAAATTTTATGAATCAATTCATGAATATTCAATATATTTTAATCATTTACAATCTTATTACAAAACTGAAATTGAATTGTCTGTTAGACAGGCAAAATTTAAATAAAAAATAACAGAAATTATAAAAGGATTACCTATTAAAATCTATTCTGGATAGAAGAAACTTGTTAAAGTCTTTCAGGCAGTTTTTTCTGAAAAATTTTCTTGTATTTTTTTCATGAGCCATGCTATGGAAAATAAAATTTAAATATCAAACTAAAAAAAACAAAACATACAAATTGATCAAGCAATTGGAAATGTAAACTTTATCAAATTTAAGCATATTTTTAGATCTATTTTTAATAGTTTGAAGAGCTTTTCTTCTTTAACTAGAAGTCTCAGTACTAAATTAAGCTTTTCATTCACATTTAAATATTAATAAAATGACAGTTACAAAGGTGTAAAAACTATATTTGAGATAAAAATTTAATCTGAAAATTATCATACATTTACTATGTTATTAGTTTCATAACCCCAGTTACTCAGTTTCTGAATATTTTATTATAGAATCAAATCTTAAAAGTAGTAAAAAATCTGGAGACATATTTATATAACAATTTATTTGGACAATGAAAGAATTGTAACTTTTGTATAGGATGACTTGCCAAGTAAATAATATAACTTTCCAAAAGTCATGGTGCCTAGTATTGTGTAGAGTCTCCTCTAGCTTCAGTGAAGTTCATCAACTTAAAATGGTGTAGATTTCACAATTGGTCAGAAGACTTCTGGAGAGATGTTCAGTGATGCTGTTTTAATAGTTGTCCACAACTCCCTGATATTTATAGGTGAAGGATCTGTGTATGAACAAACCTTTCCACGAGGTCTCATAAATACTCAATTAGGTTCATCTCAGGTAAACATAGTGGCTACATCATTAATTGGAAGTCTCCAGAAAACTCCTCAAATCATGATGATATGTTATGTTGGAATAAGCCATTATTGTTGGGCTACATTGAAGTCATAAAGCAGTGTAACTTAGTGGCACCAGTCATTTGACATGTTTAGGAGAATGAGCAGAATCATCCCATGCATGCTGTGAAGAGCCTTATGCCAATGTCTTCTTTACTACTTTCTCAACTGTACTACATACCACTAGTGTTGTCTTCAGAGTTCCCTCTCCCCACAAGCAAGCAATGTAGCCACTTATATAGTAAATGGCAGGTGTTAATACATTTGCATAGGTGTGATATCCATTTCATGTTGCACTGGATTTCCTGCTATAGATGTGGCAACTCAAACACACTTCATACTAGGTAAGCCAAGATCTCAATTACTACACTCCCCTCGATCACACAGGTGACAGGTGAGTGTGTGTGTGTGTGTGTGTGGGGGGGGCAGTCACTTCTGACTTGTGCTTCTCCAAAGTGGAACCATAGAGGTTTGTGCATATAATGCAGAAGAACCATCAGTTGAGGGGAATTGGATGGTAGAGATCTCTTCATTCAAATCTGTCGGGTCATCATCATCTGTCGTCTCACTGGGTGTTTGTGTAGAATCCTTGTGTTTTACTGATTCCTGGTTCCGATGACTCGTCTTTGTGCTCTTGAGTTCCGAGGACTCACTGTCATGGTCCACCCCACTGACAGAGTGAAGGTCCCTAATATGGCGCGGCATCCTGTTGACCAGAACTGAGCATAGAATGTGGCATCCAGTCATCACCTGCTTTCCAAATTTGAATGTGCAGATTCACACACACTACATCTCCAATTTCATAGGTTGCATTCTCCTCGCATGCTGGTGGATATGCAACATCAATCCCTTTTACCTGCACCTAGTAGGTGTAGATTCCATTTGCTGGGTCTGTGGAGGTTGATGTATTGTCCTTTGGCATTATATTGTACAGATACACTGCTTCTTCCATGGAATACTGTTTTCTGGCAGCAGTGCACTTGATGGTGAGATAGCACTTTTCAATTATGGCATTCCCCACCAGGAAGTGAGCACATCAAAAGTGCAGGTGGACACCCCAGACTTCTCTGAATTTTCTGAATGTGCTCTGGCAGAATGCCGCACCATTGTTGACCAGTAGCTCAGTTGGTGGTCCTCGTTCAAAGAATATTGACTCCAGCTACCTGATAACACTGGCAGAGTCCTGATGAAACAGTGGGTGCCACATGGGGAACTGAGTAGGACCTCAATCGATCAATATTAGGTAGTGTCTGCTGCCAAGGTGGGTTATGGCCACTCCTACTTGACACCAAGTGTCTATTACATCCCAGTCTTCTGATATACCAGAGCTGGGTCTATCGACTGACACGTCTCACCACTTCTTTTAATCAGACTTGGATATTGCAAGATTGATCTGCCTCACAATATACAGTATACGCCTTGCAACAGGATGTCCATTATGCTGATGGATACTCATTATCTGAGCAGAATTCTCAACATCTGTGGTGCACGCTGGCTGTGTAGTCTCTACTTCTTACTATATTATGTCAAGCCATTGTTGTAGCACCTTGGCGAGATGATTGGCCAGTTTGCACTAAAATTGATAAAGGCCACATTGATGGTTAGGCAAGACCCTGAGCTGACATATTATTAGTATCTCTGTGGCTGCTTTGGTGTGCACTTTTGCCCTCCTGATCAGAATGTCAGAGATCCACTGGTGCATACACACTGAATCAATTAGCAGGTGCAGCACTGTTACTTTCCTTTGGATTGCTTGATTAATGCCTTTCAACATTGCATCCAGCTCAGCAAGATTTATATGCTGCAAGTCTCCATCTGAACACAGCCAACACACTTCTTTGAGAATGTCCCTGTCAACTTTCCACACTACTCTGGTATCCAGGGAACATGCATTAAGCCATACCTTTATTTCCTGACTGTGCATGCATCAATTCCCTCTCGCAGGATCCTCTTGACATACTCTGGTAACTATTTTGATGAGCATGCATTTTAGTAGGATGTTGCAGGTCTTGTCATTCCAACGTGATTGTCACCTGTCAAATCAGAAACACAGTCGCTGGTCTGAGCCAGCCACATACTGGAAAGTGACTGGTAAGCTTCCCACATGCAGAAAACATGCTTCAACAAGTAACAGTAGCTGGAACTGGTGGGATATTACTCCCTAGTTTCCACTGAAGTACACCATGATCCCACCAGACGTACAAGCCCAATACTTTGTCAGCCAGCTGTTATCCAACCAGACTTGCAGCACACATGTGATGTTGTTGCATGAAGTTGGACATGGGATATTCTGCCATTGTGTTATGCAGCACTGTTGGGGCTTGACCTCCCACCCACTTCACATTGCTATTCAAATTCAGCACTGAAGTCCTGTTTGTCTGGCTCTGACCAGCTAAGACCAGCGGCCCGAGTGAAGACACTCAGGTTTCTCGTTTTAAAAACTGACCTTGTGTCACACCTGACTCAGTGGTGGGTCAAGTAAATCTTGAATGATATACACATTCTGATACTTACTGGTCACAGGGATCTGTCCCTGCGCTGGTAGTATCACGGCTATGACGAGCTTGGACAAGCTATGACCAGTGGCCTGAGTGAAGACACTGACCTTGTGTCACAACCTGACTCAGTGGGGAGGAGGGGGGGGTCAAGTAAATCTCCACTCTCTTGAGTGGTTTGTAACACATTATTTATCATCTCTCAGTTGCTTCTCTGTCTTTGGGTAGAGTGTACTCAGGACAGACTTGCAACTGAGGAAAATTATACTGAGGTGCCCAGCTCTGGGGAACAGCTGCCTGAGGCCATACCTTCTCATTGCATCAGAGAGAGGGATCAGTGCTCGCACAAAGGCCAGCGCAACCAATGGTTGCGGGGGCTTGGGGAACTTTTGTTCCTTGCCCCAGTGTATGTGCTTGGGTCCCCACCTTAAAAACTGACCATGTGTCACAATTCGTCTTAGTGAAGAGACACAGTAAATACCTGGTGTGTAAATTGCTCTCTCGAGTAGTTTCTAACACCCTATTTATCATCTCTCAGTTGCATCTCTGTCTTTGGGCAGAGTGTACTCAGAGGCAACTCCGTCAAAGGACAGAGTCACAACTGAGGAAAATTATACTGAGAGGTGGCCAGCCCTGGGTAACAGCTGCCCAATGCCGCACACACTCAGTGCACCAGAGAGAGGTATCAGTGCTTGCACTGAGGCCAGCGCAACCAACAATTGCAGGGGCTTGGAGAATTTTTGTTCCTAGCCTGGGTGTATGTACTCGGGCTCCCCACATTAAACCAACCTTGTGTCACAATGTGACTTCATGGGTAGAGTCGAGTAAATACCAAATTACTATAAAGTAGACCTGTGGTTTTTTAATCTCAGAATTTGTGGGAGAATTGAGCTCAATTCCCGCATTTATTTATATAGATTCCATAATATAGGTTTTACTTAATTAGCTATTATATTTCTCTAACTCAAATGTTGAATGTATAACTAATTCTAATTTCTATCTTCCCATCTTTATACTATATTAATTTTATCTTATAAATTGTCCCCTGTTCTGTCACCCATGAAATAAAAATAATCGTTTGTATGGAAAATAAGAATCTACGTATCTACTGGATTTTACAAGGTTCTTAAAAGACAAGTTTCCTTGGAAGATAAGCAAAATGTACCTCGAGCAGAGAAAAATAAAGTTCTGGGTGGATTCAATTGTAAATTTGTTTGAAATATGGTAGATGATGATGAAGGAACAAAACAGAATATATCGTTAAATTGGTGTTGAGGAAAAAAATATCTTATTTTTATCTAATAAAACAAACTAATTTAAAATACTTTCTGTGGTATTTTTTCTTATAGTGAGATATTGCCAATTCTATGAAAAACAAAATGTTAGTTTAGTTGTATGTTAAATTACAAGGATAAAATTACAATGTCATCAATAAACAATATTTACTTGCTACCAGAAATAAAAAAGTCAGAGATAAAAAAAAAATAAAAAAAATTTCAGTTTTATTTGTAAAAATGGTGAACATTCTAAATAATGTTTTTTTTCTCAATTGATATATATTTTTTTAAAACACTGATTTCTTCTACTGATTGTAAGAAGTTGATGATAAAAATCAATGGTTTAAAATACAAATTGATTTTAAAATGTAAACAACTGTAAATTTATATAACTTGTATAACTAAAATAGCTTAATACATTTATGAACTGGTTTCACATTTCTCTTCATTAAGCAACGCTTAAGATTGTATTTTTAAAAAGTGTAGTATATTTTATAACCATTGATAAATTTCTATGTTTATATCAAGTATATTAAGTAGAATATATTGTAATTTAAACATTTTCCAAAGGTTATTTTCAATAAAATTTAAATTTTAAAATAAAACGTCACAATTTTTAGTTACAAATCAAGGAAATTTAATTGAAATTTGTTATCTATAAACAAACCTGGTAAGATGGTCTAGAAATCCTTGTTCTAAAATAAGCCACGATTCACTGATAACATGCTGACTGAATTCCAATTCACAAAAGTAACACCAAAATTTCTTTTGATGATGTTGACTTTGAAGCAAACTTTTTATCACTGGATGTTCAATGACGTTTTTACAGGTATCAATCTTGGTGGGGAAAAAAAAGAAGAAGCAAAATCAAATTTCACAAGGAAAACATTAATATAATAAAAACCAATGAACTATGTAAATTCTAACTCCTAAATATAACAAAACTTTCTATGCAGTATATTATTTTTATGGGGAAAATATTCTGACACTGAAAAAAGCTATTTGCTTTAAAAAGGAAACAAATTCTTGTTGTTTGGAATAAATAAGAAAATAAAAAAATTATATTGCTAAAAATTTATTTGTGTAAATGTAAATTTATTATTTAAAATTTTTATTCTTTTGTTAAGATAAAATCTTATCTGTAACAAAAGGAATAAAAAAGAAGATAGTAATGAATAAAAAATTATGGTGAAATTGCCAACAAGAAAACATGCAGTACTTGCTAAATTTTTGTCATATGTAGGTTTACATAATTCCCAAGGCAGATTTCAATTTTTATTACTTTTCTTGCATAATAATAGTTTTCAGAATCCAACATGCCTTATATTTGAAATCTGATGCATACATTAAAAATAAATAAATAAATAGCTTATATTACCAAGAGACTCCCTCAAGTAGAGACATATGGTAAACCTATAAATAGACAATTAAATATTTCTAGTCTTAAGAATATATCAGAATAAAAAAAAAATGATACAACCTTTAATGATGAATTGCTTTTTTTCTAAATTTGAGGTATCAAATATCTTTTCTTTGTAATTTTGTACATATGATTTTATTTTATAATGTTTATTGAATGTTTGTCAACTTATATGAATTGGCAATCTTTTTTTTAATTTGTTTTCCCCTAAAAAAAAATAAAAATTGTTTTTAAAAATTTACCAAAAATCAGGGCATAATACAATTTAAAAAAACATTTTAAGTATTTAGTCATAAGTTAGTGAATTGTATACAGAATAGGTTATTTTATTAGAAAAGTTTTTAGAAATATTGAGTGGTCACTTTCACTCCACCCACCTTTTTGGTATATTGTGTGTACTTTTAATTTGGGAGTTGTCCACAAAATTCTTTTAAATTTATATAAAGAAAAATCCCTGAAGATGTTGATGAAGAGAAAAAAAATTGTGCAATATCATGGGTGAATATACCAAAAATTCATTCCAAAACTTACCAAAAATAATTCAATAAAACTAAAAAAAATTTGTTGATAGTTCATGCTTGCATAATAAAACATGCTTTTTTTCATTCTCTTTATTAGTTAATTTTTGGTGGTATGTACTTTTATGAATTAAATCTATTATGGATACTATAGTCTTAAGAAAAACAATTCAATGAATAATGAATTTTTATAAGAATAATTGTTTTCATTTTTAAAAAATTTTAATTAGAATAATTTATAAACTTAAATCTTTTAAAATTCTATATTAATTTGTAATGGTCAAGTGACAGTGTTATTAAATTAAAACTGTATTTACTAATCATAACCCCACTACACAGTATTTTAAAAAGCATTTTGAATTTTTTTTTAATATATGCATAAATGTGTCGATTTTTCTCCATACACATCACTAGAAAATAAGAGTGGTACCTACAGTAAACTTAAAATTTATTGGTGATTTTTTTTACATTTTTGCAACAAGGGTCTTCATAAGTAAGGTTAAAAATCCAAAGTACCTAAAATTCAGTAAAATATTAGAATGCTTAAAACATTTAAAATTTTAAAAATTACTGGGTAGTTAAAAATAAATTATATAAAAAATGCATTCATGTTGTATTCATGTAATTTTATTTTTATTATGTGCCCCTTATTTAAATTTGGCAAACATCAAGTTGCCAATAAATTACTTAACATGTCAAAAAAAAAAAAAAAAAGATGCTTTTCTGCAATATTTTGAACTAAAAATATGTAATATTTGTTTCAGTTCAGATTAATTAAACTTTACAGCAGCTAATTTTTCTTAAATAGTGTTTTAGAAAGTAAATTTTATAATAAAGAGAATTTTGTATGGACAAATTTATAGATTTTACTGATAATCAGAAAAAAATTTGAAAAATGATTCTAATCAATTTAAATTTGGTTTGAAAGTATTTTGCTTTTTGTAATTTTTGTAAGCCTAAAATTAAAGCTTTTAGTATTTTCATTTTTTAAAATACATTTTGAACCTTAGGTATTTTTTTTTTTAGGTATCTATATAAAATTAAAAATTGTCTCAGTTTTATTATATTTTTTATTTTATTTTACAATTCAGGGAAGTTTACCTACAACTGGGGGTCCTGTTTGACCAAAATATATTGATGATTTAAATTCTTTGGGGATTTTTCCTAATAACAAGGAAACATTAAGCAATACAAAAAAGTATTTCCAAAAATTTTATAAAAATTAAGTGTGTGGTAACATATGTAAATTTTTTTTTTTTTAACAAAGATTTTCTAAAACAGAAGTGTTTTAAAAATAATTTCATTCATTTCTGAATTAGTCCTAAAAGTATCATTGCAATCCAACAACAATTATCTAATTTTTGCAAGAATTTCCAAATCAATGTGTTTTTGACTGACTAAAGAAAAAAAAAACTGAAAAGAAAAAGTTTTAATCAAAGTTTCCATAATTTTAAAAAGGATTAAAAAAATTATTTTTTACATAAAAATATCCTTTGATTTTTCCTTTTAATGTCACAAAGATTTTTACAATAAAGTTTTATATTTTAGGCATTTTTTCATCATGATCATATTTTAGTGAATTTTTGAAGGTTTCTACAAAAATGCCTATTTTTATTTTACAAATGTGAACTTATGAGAAAATTGCTCAACTGACTGTTAAATTTTAAAATAAAATTGATAATTCTCTATAACCATCAAATGTAGTGAAGAAAGCTATTAACGAGGTACCACAAAAATGGATGTTTCCAAAACATTTCCAAAATGAAAGTAAAAAAAAATAGAAATGATAAAAAAAAGTTGCTACCCACATCTTTTAAAACATTTGCCAAAAAGTAGTACTTATTCATGAATTAATGAATATACTGAATAGGTTATTTTATTAGAAAGCTTTGTGGAAATATTACTTTTAGGGTCTGTTTTATTTTCCCCTTTTCGATATCTCATATGTACTTTATAAGCAGTTGGGTGGGGGTTGTATCATTATTTTTTTCTTTTACAGTTATATAAATAAAAATCTCTGAAGATGTTATGCAATATCAATTGTGAAAATATTAAAAATTAATCTAAATTTCGCCTGTCAACACAAACCTATGACTTTACTCACAACATTTCAAATACAGAGACAGAATTTTGTAATACATATATACATATCTCTCTGTGACTCAGCCAAGTTCAATCAACCAGAACTCTGTTGATTTCTCTAACACAACACACTTTCTGATCAATTGTATTCTTGTGTTATCTATTCTAACAGCAGACTTGTTCTAACATTGATTCCTGAACATTTCTCTCTAAAGAGAACTTTCTTTCGAACAATCAATTACAAATCAAAATACGGTAAAAGGGAAGCAACTTCTTTTCCCTTACATTGAATACAAATTATTGTATATTTTGTTCTTGTATGTTGATTCACATTTGGAGTTTCGTTGTTTTCTTGAATCATAAATAATACAAAAGATATATGCACTAAAGAACACGCACCATAACAGTTTCAAAGAGTTTACGAATGATACAGAGGAGAATGATGGTTCTGTACTGTGAGGGGGAGTGCTTGCTCACATTTTCAAAAAACTGGGCATATACTTGACACCTTCCACAGATTTGGGAAGGATTTCTTCTTCAAGCAGTGGTTAAATAATCTTAAACTATTGCTTAGGTTATAAAGATAAATAATTTATTTTTAGACATAAATACCAATTTCTGGATTGTTGCACTGCTGGTCAATCTTCGTCTAATGCTAGTTTGAGGAGTCAACGTGCCAATGTTTTAAAAATTCCTAAAAATTTCATACAGAAATTAATTTTCTTTTAATATGGAAGGTTATTCAAATAAGACCAAAATTTAACTTCGAAGAACACATTTGAATTATTTATAATGCTTTATTTTTTTTAAGAAAGTACACGGCAGTACCTAACAAAAAAGCTAAATTTGAAGCTCTCCGCAGCTTCTTTCTTTTCTAATATGGATCAATTTTGCAATTGTCATGATTTTTTGGGAAAGAGTAGTCTCTTGTCGCGCTTCTTTGAATTGAATTTTCTCTTTTAGACTGGCTGCCAAACAAGGCTGGAGAATATGATGTTCTCCTCTGCTATTTTTAACTCAAAACTGAAGGAGAAGAGATGAATTCATGCTTTTGTTTTCCGTGCAAAAGTGAACGCAACAGATTTGGACGGAATTTAACTCAGCGCATCGATTACACTTTCCGCGCTGAAAATCGTTACACTATTCGCATTATTCTTGTAATATTTTTAGATAAATCAGAAATGTAGATATTTATTTCAATCAATTCATTCATTCACACCTAGCTGCAATAATTCAAGAATTAATTCATAAAGTTAGAAAAAAAGTACACAATTATACGCACCTTTGAGCTAAATCTCTGAAGAAGTGACATTAAACGATTTCGATGTCCCCTCGTATAAATATGTTTATCTTCATTAACGTGACTACAACGGCAGAGAGAACAAAACTGAAATTGCTTAAAGGGTAAAAATGACATTGCTTTTCTAAAGTTTCAGAGCGCAAAACAACCGGATACATAGCAAACATTTATCATAGTTTTTTTTTTTTTTTTACTCTTCTTAAACTGAAGAGTGAAGTGTCGTTTCCGTATAACATTGTAACTTCCGATTTGGAGGAGTACAAATTTTGATATTTGGATTATATTTATAATTGAAATTCTTGAAACGGTAAATAAATAAAAAAGTAAGTATTTGCTTAAGAGGATAATACGACGTCATAATGCTAAACATTCTGCCTGATTTTTAGTTCTTATTTTTTTTTCTCTTAAATAACTAAACCAGAAACCACAAAAAGCGACTTTTCTTTCTAACTTGAGTAATTTTGCACGTATTTATTTTGGAACTATTCCGTATCTTTGACTTGTAATCTTGTTGCAAATAATTCCATTTTAATGCTAAATGTCTTGAATGATTTTTTTCACACTCGTGGTAAATAGAATTTAGCAATTCATGATCTATGTGTTTTGTGTTATATTTTCCTTCTATCTTTCAAAGATAAAAAAAATTCCCAGTGCTCTTGCATCATTGATCAATCTTAATAATAAAATCCTTGATAAATGTTTAGTTTAGTTTACTGGTTCTTCATTGGTTTTTAAAACATTTTCAACAATTTCCCATTTTTTATGGGCAAGAATTTTTTTCACAATTTTACATTGTTTTAAATTTTATATTTAAATTTATAACAAAAAAAGTGCCAAGCTAAAAAACAAAACAAAATTCATTTGTTCATTATTCAACGAGAGAAGACAGTTACACATTTATATCACTTTGAGCTGCTTGTTTATTGTGCAGAAAGAATAATTCTGTGGTTTATACAGATATGACAAACAAAAATGAACAGTAACAGACATCTATTTGGGTGGTGGGAAATTGTATGTCACTTCATGTAGTACGTACACACTCAATAATTGTCTCTAGTTAAAAAAAATCCTTCAGTGAGCTTAAAGCTATTTTATCTGCTTCTCCCCCCCATTCATAATTTCGGTTCGCTACTCGTTTCCTCGATAAAATAGTTGATTTAAAAAAGCAAAAAGAAGTAAAGTGAATAATTGTGTCTTTTTTTGTTCATTACTTTTTCTTTTAAAACTTAGCTTCATATTTTTTCGCTTCGATTACGGAGGGGGGTTTAAATTGTAAAAAAGAGTGGGTCATAATGGATAATTTTTTTTTATATTTTAGTAAGAGACCAATTTACGAACATGAAAATTAAAAAAGAAGAAAGCGACAGGCTTCAGGAGAAAGACTAGGAAAAAGGAATGAAAATTGTTGAGCAAACTTTTCAGCTAGAAAAGAAAGAGTAATTTTGTCAGGAATCGCGTTTTTTGTCAAACGTGCGTGTAGTTTTTTTTTTTTTTTTTCATTTTTTTTTTTTTTAGCACGGTTCACAAGGCCCTGGAACCACTCGAGGTAGAGGGTTACACAGTTTGTTATAGGTAACTCCATGAGATCGCTAAAAAAAAAAAGAAAAAAAAAAGAGCATAGCATGATGAAAAAGACTCCAAATTTGACGAAAACAAAATGTTATCGTCTATGAAGAGGAAAGACCAAAGTTTTTTTTTCTTTTTTAATTATTTTAAAAATTTTTTCCTTTTTAGAACATTCTAAATTTTGATTAAAAAAAAACTTTTTTCTCTTTATATCACCGGAACTAATAAATTTTTAGCACGTTTTTTTTTTTTTTTTATGACACATTAATTTGGAAAATCTTGCAAAAATAATTGTCGGATGTTAATGAAACTTTCAGAAATTATTCATAGATGATGGAAATTATTATAAATAGTTTTTTTTTTGTTTTTTTTTTAATTAAAGTCATGGCAGGAATATTTTTTTATATTTATTACCCGCCCACCCAACTAATTTTATGAAAACTCTAGCTAGAAATTCGATCAAGTCCAGTTTAGTGATTAAAAGCACAAGGCTTTGAGGAATGCAAATCATGTTTTTTGTTTGTTTTTTTTAATTGGACCCCCCCACACACACACACACCTGAAAATCAGCTCTGAATTGTAACATACAAAACTCAATAAAACAAAGATATTATTTAATTTCAAATGCTTTTATTTGCTTTTATCAATATGGACAATATTTTCTGAAAGCAAAAAATTTTTTCAATGAAAAATGAATTTTTAATATAATTATTTGTTATTTCTTTAATTATAATAGATTTTTACATTTAAGTTGTAGAATAATCCACATTACCTTTTCACCCCTTTGCAGAACAATCCATTCTTACACTCACACACCTGTTATCCAATCAAAACACTAGTTCTGACAAACTCAATTTCTCATTGGCTAACAGCCTTAAAAAACTAAGTATGCATGTGAAAAATGCCTTTGGCACTCAAATGTGTTTGAGCCTATTTTTCCTTTCCAGAACCTATAAAAGAAAGAAATTCAAACCAACTTACCAGTCAGAATTCCACACTCAGAGAGATGCCAACCAATTCCATGCCAGTTTAAACTTTGACTTTCCCACGCAAATTCACCTCTGACTCAACAACCTTTTGGCATACTCAATCTCTCTTTTAAACAAACTTCTCAAAAATTCATTTACTTTACTTGAGAAAGTGAAATATATATTCACTACATATTAGTAACAGTAACAAACAAAACTTTTAACAATCAACAGTTCAAGGTACGCAATTTCGTACAACTTAAGAATATTTTACAATAACACTCTTATACACACACTAACATTTGAACTGTAAAATCGAACACTTTTGCACGTTGGACATCAAACAGTTTAATTCTTACAACAAATCATGAAAACACTGATTTAAGCATTCAAACATACTCGACAACAAACTACATGTCTTATTACATCAATATACAACAAACCACCAATTCATAACTCATTTGTATATATTTAAATTGTATATAAATTACCGTATTGTGGTGTATTTTACTTGTCTTTTGTTTTAAACTCTGCTTTGCATGACCTGTTCTAAATATTTGTTTATTATTTGTTGTGGATGAATTTTAACGAACACGCCACCTAAAAATTCCTTCTGATTTAACTAAACACATTCACTAATCCCCAACAAAGTTGTTAAAATATTATAAAATTAGTTAAAAGCCGCATTCACTTTCGTAAATGTCCTTATGAGATAGATCTTTTTTTAGCACATTGTAAATTGTATAGTTTTTTTGACTAATCAGAAGACCCGCAGTAATTAAGAAATGTAATTTTGCGTTTATAATCGGGCTGTAATTATAAAGTATGGAAGACCAACCAGAATACAATTAAGTTGTGTTATTTCAGTTAAGCATTGTTCTCCACTGTTAAGGCCTTTATTTTTGCAAAACACGTGTGGAGAAGTTAATTTGATTTATCAATTTCAATTGAGAAGGGTACTTACAAGTATCAGTATCATTTTATGAAATTTATATGATCTTATTTTTATAATCTCAGTTATGACATTTTTCCATAAATGAAATATCAAAATTAATAATAAAATGAATGGAAATACAAATAACACAGTAAAATGTAATAAATGTACATAAAATTATAGTATTTTATGTACACTTTTGATAAAATTTCATAAGAAAGGTACCTATAAATTAATTAGATACCTTTCTTATGAAATTTAATCTCATTCTTAACAGTCTTATTTTAATTTTTTTATAATATATTTTCCATAAAGCATCGTAAACATAAAGGTGAAAGCTAAGTACAAAAAAAAATTAGAGAGCTGAAAGTTTTCCTTAAAAATAACGAGGTAAATAATTTGTTCACTTAAGTGTAAATGATTTTACTTTTCTCTTTCCGTAGAACAAATTATCCACACGTAATCTGTCAATACGTCATTCATCACCTGTCAAGTGACCCAAAAGTGTTGTTTTGTTTTCAAACTACATTTTTTCGGTGCAGAAGCTAAGTTAAGCTTGGTTCAAAATGTTTTGAATAAACATTATTATTTCTGATTTTCTTAAAATAAGTTTTGAAAAAATAATTGATTTTTAAAAGAATTTCAAACTGAGATTTTAATTTTTTTATAAAATGGAAAAAAATGGTTGCCATGATTGATTATCTGTCAATTTTGCTGACTCAAAAAAAACAAGATTTTTAACGAAAATTTCGGACGTGCTAGGAACGATTAAAAAAAATGTAAAAAAATACCCCCAAAATACTTTGATCTTTCCTCTTTGAACATTTAGACAATAAAATTTTGTTTTCATCAAGTTTGGTGTCTTTTTCATCATGTTATGCTCTTTTTTAGCGATCTCATGGAGGTACCTTATTTTTTAGACAGATATGTGGGGAAGATAGCAGTTAATTCTAGATTTGAACAAGTTGTTCACAAGAAGCTGCTTGGGTGGAATTTATATCTGACATGAAATATGAAGGAAATAAGTGATTTGTTACAATGTGCATAGCATGACCAGTTTTAGTTATGAAGGTGAGAACTGGTGAAACTGAAGAAATGTAGTTTGTCTGAGCACTCTTCATGGAAATAGTGATAGATCAGTGAAAGGCTAGCAAAATTTTTCTGTGAGAAAGGAATTGTAGTGTGAAAAATAATTTGTTACCCACAAGGACATGTAGATGCTTTTTGTATCAAGACTGGAAAGTGAAAACTAGGCAGCTCTTGCCCTTTTATATATATATATATATATATATATATATATTTTTCGTGGGTCCTTACCTATAACTACAGAATGAACTCTTCCTAACACTATGTATACTATGCCTCTCAAGAGAGAAGGTTGAATCGAGTTGACTCCAAACCAGACTGACAGTCATACTAACACCTTCCACATTTTGTATTATTATTTTGTGTAATATACCTTCGTTATTTCTACTCTTGTGTTCGTGTTGTTCTTCTTTGGTCCTAACCTGGACCATAACACACACACACACACACACACATATATATATATATATATATATATATATATATATGTGGAAGAAGTAGTCACATCATATCTCTGGCAATGTTCAGTTGTTTGTTTACCGCCGGAATGGTGAGTCTTCAACAAAAGGTATTCAGAGGAACAAGTGGTGAGTATCCATGCTGCATTTGAGGGGAGTCTACGGAAATCTACAAATTGAGCTAGCCATGAGCTTGTGATCTCTCAATCCACTATCTGGCATATGTTAAGAAGGCGTCTACATTTGAAACCTTACACTGCCTTGTTCAGGCACTTACCAAAACCTTGTTCTTTGAGCTTGGCCTGAGAGATCCCTAGACCTCACCGTGTGTTATTTTTTTTTTTTCCCCCCTTGTGGGGATATGTAAAAGATTGCATTTATGTTCCACCGTTACCCACTAACCTCAATGACCTTAATCATTGAATAACAACAGTGATCAATTCAGTGGATCATGGTATGCATCTGGGAGGAATTCTCTTTTCACATTGATCTTGCCTGTGCTGCAGGTCGTGTCCACATTGAACACTTGTAAGACATGAACTAAAAGTTGAATGTAAGTAGAATACTTGTGACTTAGCTGGAGTTTTCTATTGCTTTTCTTTACTAAAATATTGCGTAATAGAATTGCTTCATTCTTATAGTTTAATGTAACATTGGTAGATCCAAATATAGATAGAACTTAGCTACACCAGCTTTACATTAAACTAATATATTTTCAAATTTTAAGTAATGGTCAGTAAACACACAACACCTGAAGATTGTATTTTGCATGACACTCCAAGTAGTGCAAACAGTGCAGGATAATATGTATATTTATTAATATACTTTATAGCTCTGTTATATAACATTGATCACTATTCCAATAACACCAGCACTTTATGTGCAATTCATATATTTATATATTTACCTTTTTATATATACATACACATACACACACACACATATATATATATATATCAAATATGTGGTGCAGTTCAATTTATATTACAATGAATCATTCATACAAAAAGTAAATTAGTAAAGTTAATCATATAAAATGGCAAAATCCCTTTTCTAACAAAATTTTAAAGATAATTTTTTTTAATTTTTTAGAAGACCTACTAATCACTAAACTGCAATAGGTCTTAATAAGACCTATTACAGTTTATAATTTTAAAAAACAAAGATCATAAAATTCATCGAGTGATTGGTAGGTTAATGCATCTTTAAAATTTTTTTGTGAAGTGATTTTGCCATTTTATATCATTAAGTTTACTAATTTACTTTTTGTATGAATGATTCATTGTTATATATATATATATATATATATATATATATATAGCTTGGAACAAAGTAAAATATATTAGCATGATTGACTTAAGATGAATTAAGTATAAAGTATATATACACTCTTTCTCATCCATTTCAAATTGTGAAAGTCAAAACCATATGATCAATGTGCTAAGACTGCTCTCCTCAACCATATTTCAATTGGTTATGAATATTCTTTGTTACACTATTACATGCTGAATTTACCTAAAATCTGCTAATAATAATTAGATTACTGAAAGAGCAAAAATAGATTTTATGAAGTAGTACTTTATTGGAAGTGTTGTCAGTAAACAGTTGAAAATGATTGTTAGTATCAATTGAAGAAACAGGATGATTTTCACTTTATCAGTTAATTTTTAATGTGTCTATATTTTGTTTTGGTTTAGAGAAATTTTAAGTATTTCAAAATGGTATCAGAAAGTTAAAAAAGTTACATCATTACTCCAATAAATAATATATTTCATATTCAAATTTGGCTATTATCTCCTTCAAAACAGTAAACAACAATCTCAGGACTTTTTCTACACCAGGATGGTTCTCTTAATGGCTGTTCAATATCATATGCAATTCTGTTTGGATTTTATCTACAGTTTTGATTCCAGTCATTGGAGAGAGCTGATAAATTGTTTGATAATGGTCCTTATGGAAAAATTCATAAATGTTTCATACATTTTCTGGCATTTTTCTGTTTATTGACTATGTTTAATACTTATCTTGAATGAACCAATACTTGACTAGCCTTGAAATGATTGTGTGAATTGAAAAAAAAGCATATAACATGCACATCTCCTTCCCAGCAACCAATAAAGCTGTCAGAATGACTAAGGAGGTAAAATCTGAGACTCCTGAATTTCCCAGACTCTCCTTAAAAAAACTTGAAAGTGGCCTTTTGACCAATGCAAGGACTGACCAAAATTAACAATAAAAAAAACAAATAAAAACAAAGTTCTCTTTCTTCATAGATGGTCATTCACCCTTGTAGTTCACTGATACTAAAAAGCAGAAATTTTTTTCTCCTGGTGATGGCCTTGCTGGCCGAAGCTAGTCATGGAACCTAATTTAAATAATAAAGCAAAAAATATTACTATACAACCCAGTGTGTCTGAAATTTTAATTTTTTAACATTTTTTTTTATTGTTCAATTGGAATTCAACAGGGTGATAAAGAACAAATAGGGAATTTATATCAATCTAACATGTTACACTTTTATTAAAGCTTCATCATAGATTGACAGAATACAGACAAAGAGACAGAACTTTGGTATTTTTCAATTTTGTTTGGCTCAATTCTCATTCTCATGTGCATTAAAACCATAGATAATTCTATATGTTTGTGAAGATTCTTGTATTTCTAAGCTGCCATCAGATGGTAATGTGTATTCATAATTGTGTATCTCTCTTGTTTTTGTAGATGCAGGTTTTTGTGAGATTTGTGCTTAGACAAATGATTTAACTCTCTTGTATTGCATAGAAATGATGCTGGCTTTGACTTCGCTAATGCCAACCTAATTAAAAAATAATTCTTTAAGGAGAAAACACTTTGAAAGCTTAATAATAACATTATTATAAATACTTGCTAAAACATTACATTAAATTGCCATTCTTTTTTTAATCTAACTTGTATCTATCTAATACAAAGAATATGGGCATAAAAAGAACAGTCACAGATAAAGTGGAATGCTACGCCTGGTGCCGGCTGACTGCACAAAGGTGAAAACATTAGAACTCCTCATACTAGACAAACACACACAATTACGAATACATATTATCATCCGATGCCCACTTAGACATACAAGAATCTTTACAAACTTACATATATATATATATATATATATATATATATATATATATATTATGTATGTGCATTAAGCACATAATGCGATTGACCAATGAGAATTGACCCAAACAAAATTGAAAAATACCAAAGTTCTGTCATTTTGTTTGTATTCTCTCAATCTCTAACTTTTTAATAAAAGTGAAATGTTAGATTGATATACATTTCCTATTTGTTCTTTATTGTGTGTGTATATATATATATATATATATATATATATATATATATATATATATATATATTGAGAGAGAGAGTTTTATTATAATCATGGTGATGTCTGGCTTTCTTTATTAATTTTTGGTAATTTTATTTTTCAGTTAAATTTAAAGAAAAAAAAATGCCAGTACTTATTGATCGACCAAAAATGACTGTTGCTACTTACCAAGCATTAAAGCGCCATATAATGAGAGAAAGAGAAAAGAAAAAACAAGGTATATAAATTTACATGACAAAGAAAATTACTCATAACTACTATTATTTTTATTAGTGGTGATCTGTCACGTTTAACAATAACATGTGCATGGGTGAACTTGAAGGTGACTGAAGAGTACAATGCGTGAAAGGCATAGATGCTTGCATTGGGGATAGGGAAACTGGCCTGGAGGTTTGGATGCTTTTGCTGCCTTCCTTTTTGCATGGGCCTCATTCATGCTCTCATATTGGTTTGCCTCAAATGTCTCTCTTGCTTTGCACGTTGATCCAGTTCGATCCTGTGCATACTCTTGAAACTGGTTGGGGGCTATTCCAGTGTGTGCGATGTTAGCCTTGATGCAGTTTTTAAAACATTTCAATGGCCTAGCATACTTTCTCTTTCCTTTAAAAAGCTTGTCATAGATAAGTTGCTTTCAGGATGGTTTTCTTGGCTTTAATGCTGGTTGTTTCTGTGCAATCCAGGACTTCAAGGTTTGTGATCCTATCCTGCCATTTGATGCCCAAGATAGAGTGCAAGCTTTGCCTGTGCAAATGCTCCAACAGTTTGATGTGGCTTCAATAGATGATCCAAGTCTCGCATCCATAAATAAGGCTCGTGAGGACAACTGTCTTTAGACATCAAGATTGGTGGACTGCTGGACATTGTGTTGATTCAACACACAATGTCAGCAATAGAGAGAGATATGCCTTGGTATTTTCTACAGTCATATTTGCTACCCTTGTTTTTTGTAGAGGGGAAACAATTGTGGCATCTCTGAACTCCTGGGAAATGTCCTGTTCCTCCCATATACTGCAGAGGAAGTTATGAAATGTGTCAAGAGCCATTGGTCCCACATCTTTATAGATTTCTGCAGGGATCCAATTCCTATCAGGGGCTTTTTCTGAGTTGGTCTGCTTGATAGCCCTGTGGACCTCTTCCAGGCTAGGAGTGAGGTTGAGGCTGTCTAGTATAGGTTTCTGAGGGATCTGGTTCAGGGATTTGTTGCTGACAGTGGAGGGTCTGTTAAGAAGGGTGCTGAAGTGTTCCTTCCATCTAATAGCTTTCTTCTCATTCAGCTGCATGCTATTTGTTGACAGAGAGATGTTACTTGGTTGAGATGATCCTTACACTGCCTTGATGGTACTGAAGTATCTTCAAGTTCTTAGTGCCAGCATATAACTGGACTTTGTCCGCCTATTTCTTCCACCACTCATCCTGCATGTGGTGTAGCATGGCTTGGGAACAGCACTGAAGGTACTTGAAGCAGTCCTGCTTTGAGGTGGAGGAAATGTCATTCTGCCAAACTATGAACACCTTCTGCTTCTCATCCAGGATGATGACTTCATCATTCTCATCAAACCAGTCCTGGTGCACACTCTTTTTGGGGCCAAGTGTTGACTGGGCTGCTGCTTTCATTATTATGCTCAACTGGTCCCATTATTGAGTTGATACTTGTGAATGGTTCATGGGTAGTCAGCTTTTCATCCAGGCTGCTCACAAGGTGGTCTTGGTGACTTGGATTTTGAGTATTGTGACGGTGAATGGTGGCCAGTCAAACTTGGGTTTTTATGATGGGTGTGGTCAATGTAGAGCATGATGACTGACTGGTTGGTCCAGCATTCTGCTCTTCCCATGGCGCTGGTAGTCTTGAAGTCTCAAGCATCATGTCTGTGGTAGATAACATAGTCAATTAAGTGCTACTGCTTGGACCTTGGATGCATTCAAATTTGTACTTGTCAGCCTGCCTAAATAGGGTGTTGGTGATTAACGTTATTCTCTGTAGCATTAAAGTTGCCCAGCAGCATGACTTTATCTCCAGGAGGTACAGCCTCCACCAGATTGTTCAGGTCCTCGTAGAAAGTTTCCCTATTTCATCACTGCTGGCTAGTTTTGGGGCATATGCATTACTGGCCGTGATATATTGGGAAGCATTCAGTGGAAAGCAGAGCTTTAGTCATTTGTTGAAGGTGATAGGAAGTTCTTGTAGCTGCTTGAGTAATGATAATTTGATTGCTAGTCCTATCCCATGAATCTTGGGTTTTGCCATTCCAGAAGAAAATGTAGCCACCTTTAGGCTCAGCCACAGATCCTTTATTTGCCAGTTGAGTCTTGCTGAATGCTGCAATATAGATGCTGTAGTGTGACAGTTTTGTGAACTGTGCTCCTCTCAGGTCTTGTTTGGGTTTCTGTCTTATGTGTTTGAATGTTTCACACATGAAAAATCATCTTTTTTTTTTGTTTCTTGTGTTTCAACCACAGAAGGGGAAACACTGCTGTCAGTGGTAAGCTAGTCACTGAGTAATAGGACAAGCAACTTTGAGACACCTTTTTTTAGTCTTTTCCCTCAGTGCTATCCTAAAAAGGCTGCTCAGGCACCTGGGAAAATGCAATCCTCTTGACACTTCTGTGACACCACTTTGTTATTCTATTTCTTGCTGAGACATGCATGCATCAAAATTGTAATTGCATGTCTTATTCTTTGGCAGAGGTCTGGAACTCCTTGCTGTGGAATGTTGTGTCATTGTCTCTTCTCCCTATCCATTTTCCAGGCATTTCCATGATATATGGCTCAGTGTGTCACAGCAATAGCAATGTATGACTTTGTCTCCTCACCAGCTCACACTGTGCCCAGCTTGTCAACTCAAACAATTTCAAGCCAAGTAATTAGCACAACCACATCTGTGGGAGACAATATCGCTTTGTGGATCATTGGTGGAAGTCAAGTCTGTACCTCATTGAAGCTGCCACAATCAATTCTTTTGCCAGTACATCATCCTTCAGTATGGCTCAGGGTTGCTCTAACAGCTGGTGGGTGTCGAGTGCATCCATTCAAGAGGAAGCATGAAGCAGCTACCTGATGTGCTCAGGCAATCTTGTTACAAATGCACATGCAAATCCATGTTCAGACACTCTCCTGTACAAGGATGACAGCCTGTGGAAGTCAGCTAAGTACACATCCACAGATTTGTTCAAATTCAACTGTTTAGCTATGAATGGGTTATATGCTACAAATGAACCTGTGGCAAAACAATGTACAGGGAGACTCTGATATGGCCTACATTTTTTCTTTCTTCCTTGCCTCTTGTCAATTGGAGTGGCAGAATGCCAGCAATGTTCTTCATGCCACACAGATCATAGACCAGTTTAACCATTTCAAATCATTCAATGATAAAGGCACTCTGGTCTGAACCATCAATGTAGTGATACTAGAAAATTAGTATGCATAATTTGCGTAAGCATAAGTGAACACTCATATAAGTGGTCATTGGCAATAACGAGGGGAAGTACGAGCTTAGCGGCTGATTAGTGCTAACTTCAACTTTACAACAATGACGTCGCCGATAGGATATCAATTGTCTCTGGAAGATCCAGATTTCGTGGATACATGGATTCGTTGTTTCTCTGCCACTGCAAGAACAAAAAAGTTGAAAGACAACAAGGAAAAGGGAGGCGAAAATGAAATCACGGATTTATTTTTGGCTACAGCTGGATGCGAGGCGGTAATGAAAGTCTCCACCATGGCATATCCCTTAAATTTGGAAGACCTGACTTTCGAAAAAATAAGTCAGATTATAAGAAGAAAGGCTGGTAGTGGCAGAAAGAATGAAATTCATGTCGATGAAACAAGAAATGCAAGTAGATATTGTGAATTTGAAAAACTTGGACAAGACGAACAGACTGTTGAAGAGAACTTGATTCAATTAAGACTAATTGAAGGTATGTCCAATTTCTTCACACCGATATAAAATAATGGAACAATTACAAATTGGAAATATGTCTTTAAATACATGTATTGACTTTATGCAGCAACAAGAACTAATACAGACATACAACCATTATAAAAGTCAATCCAGTGAACAAATATTCGCTGATACGTACATGTTAAAGAAGATAAAAAAGTGTTTGTATTGTGGACGTGAACACGAAATGAAAAAGGAAAAGTGTCCAGCATTTGGAAAAACTTGTAATAATTGCTTAAAAAAGAACCACTTTCAAGCAGTGTGTAAATTAAAAAAGAAAAATGTTGAAAGAATTGAAGAAAACGACACCGCTAGGGAAGTTTTTACATTAAAAAATAAGACTTTAAAAAGAATTGAACATAAGAAAAAAGCCATTATAGTAAAGGTCAAAATTAATAACTGCAATTTAGATATGCAAATTAATACTGGGAGTGAAGTAACACTGATACCAAAAAATTTTTGGGAACACATTGGTAAGCCACCTTTACGAAAAAGCAGTTTACACCCAATTTGATGGGTCGGTTATAAAAATATTAGGATACTTTGAAGGTTCATTAGAGTTAAAAGAAAAATTTGAGGTAATACCTATAGTTGTTACAAGTTGCAAAAAAAACCATGGGCTTATTGGAAATGACGTGCTTAATATAAATTCTACTAAGTTAATTAATGAAATAAAAATGGAAAAAACTGGAAAGTTAAAAAGCTATGAAGCAAGTTTAAAAGTAAAAGAAAATATTTCCCCTTCTTATTATGAGGCACGAAAATTACCAGTACATTTATTGCCATTAGTAGTGACAAAACTATGTAAATTAGTAGAACAAGACCTTCTTGAACATGTTCCACCTGAAGGTAGCAAGTGGGCATCACCAATTGTAGTTTTGAGGAAAACAGATGGTGATTTACGTATTTGTGGAGATTACAAAATAGGAGTAAATCACAAGATAAAGCTCGGATTCATATCCCATACCCAATGTTGAACTTGCATTACATGCACTGGCAGGGATGTCCGTTTTTTCAAAAATAGATTTGAAAACGGCATAGCACCAAATACCAATAGACGAAAACTTCATAGAAGTAACCATGATAAATACGCCAATAGGGTTACTAAGATGGAAAAGGATGCCATATGGAATAAAAACTGCAAGCGCCACATTTCAAAGGGCCATTGAACAGGTTTTAGGAAATGTACAAAATATGATTTATTACCAAGACGACATATGCATAGGAGCTACTAATGAAAAGGAATTAAAAGAGAAAACTGACTTAGTCTTGAATAGATTAAGAAATGCTGGAATGAAGATAAATGAAAAAAAATGTGTAAGCAATTCTAACAAAATATCTTTTTTAGGTTATTCCATTTCAAAAGAAGGTATATCACCAGACCAAGCCTTGATAGAAAAAATACTAAAAGTAGCTACACCTACAAATAAAAAAGAATTGGAGTCTTTTTTGGGATTGGTAAATTTTTACAGGCGATACTTACCAAAATACACGGACTTGACAGAGCCATTTGCAAATTTAAGAAAAAAAGAATGTGGAATTTATGTGGACAGATGAACAGCAAAAAGCTTTTGGAAGATTAAAAGAAATTATGTCAAAGAAACCTGTAGTGAAAATTTTTGATCCAAAAAAGGACATAACACTCATTACAGATGCAAGTGAACATTCAATATCGGGAATATTATCACAAGAAGGACATCCAATAATGTATTTGTCGAGAAGATTAACGAACACTGAATTTAATTACTCGAACATAGAGAAAGAAGCATTGGCTATCGCGTGGACAAGTACCAGAGCCCGACAATTTTTAATTGGGAAAAAATTTCTATTAAGAAGTGATCATAGACCATTGGAGTTTATATTTAACCCAAGGAAAGAATTACCCAAAGTCACGACATCAAGGATTCTACGATGGGCGATAAGATTGATGGCATTTAACTTTCATATAGAGTCAAATATATGTCAAAGGAAATTCAATTCCACATGTGGATGCACTATCAAGATTGAGGTTCTACAAGGAGTCAAAAGACAAAACAGAGGAAGAATTTGAAGATTCATTCCTACACTTGATAGACACTGATGTTTTGTCTTTAGACAGAATGGCTGTGGAAACGAGACATGATCTGGTGCTAAGTAGGATAGTATCGAGAATAAGGAAAAACTCATGGGGAAATTGTTTTAGGGCAGAAAGACCCTATAAAGAAATAAGACACAAATTAACAATAGAACATGGAGTGATTTGCAATGGGGACCTGGTAGTTCCCCCAGAAACACAAAGAAAACTGATAATAGAAAGTGTACATAATGATATACACTGTGGAGTAGTGGCCACACAAAAAAGGATAAAATTAGAAGCTTGGTAGCCGGGATATTCAAGAGACATTGAGGAATATGTAAAAAGGTGTAAAAAATGTAAAGAATTAAGAAACTTTACACAAACCAAATTACATTCGTGGCCCAAAGAAGTGGAGCCATGGAGTCGTGTGCATATGGATCATGCATACATTAATGGAGTGGGACTCTTATTAAAAGATTCCTTTTCAGGTTGGCCTGAAATAATCCGGGTTACAAACAAGAAAAGTTCTACTATAAAGCAGATTCCAAGAGTCATATTTTCTAGAAATGGTGTACCAAAAACCTTGGTATCTGATAATGCACCAGAATTTTGTGAGGAAGAACTTAACGTATGGTTAGCAAAAATAGGGTGTAAACCTTATATGACACCTCCATATCACCCTCAATCAAACGGATTAGCAGAAAGAATGGTACAGACCGTAAAAAAGGGGCTAAAAGCATGTTCTCAGCAAAAAGAAAAAGTAGAAGTTTTTCTACTGAGGCTGCTTTTAAGTTATCGTATGATACCACATGCAGGAAGACTAGAAAACCCATCAGCTTTAATGGGAAAACAGATTAGAGCTCCGCTAACGATGTCATATTCTACAAAGGAAAAGATCAAAGATGCAGATCCGGAAGGAGCCGAATTTATAATGCAAAAAGGCCACAACACAACCATAATAAATAGAGAAAATGGCGATAGTGTGTTAGCCCATGCAGACCAAATAAGGACCCAGGGTGAAGAGGGAGAACAAAACGACGAAGAAATGTCTTCAATTCCATCTGATAACGAGTTGGTAGAACAACCATTACAGAAGGAAACGTCAGAAGACGAAACAATGCAGGATGAAGAGGGCCAGAATGAGTCTGAAAGTTCGGACGAAGACCAGATTATGCAAGAAAACACATATGACTACAGCCTAGCCCGGGACAGATCGAGGTCTCCCAGGGAAAGAAATACGGGAGAGAGAGAAATAGAGCAAAGTGATGAAAATAGCAGGAGAAGGAGTACAAGATCTACGAGAGGAATAAAACCCTTAAGGTTCAGGGAGATGTAGTGATACTAGAAAATTAGTATGCATAATTTGCATAAGCATAAGTGAACACTCATATAAGTGGTCACTGGGAATAACGAGGGGAAGTATGAGCTTAGCGGCTGATTAGTGCTAACTTCAACTTCACAACAATCAAATTTGGGGATTAGCCTCAGGTTGAATTTACCATCCAACATGACTGCTGAAATAGCTTGTAAAATAAAGCAAGGGTGTGTTGAGGTTGGAGGGGAAACACATAACAGATTGTTCTCTTAAGAGTTATGGCATAACAGGCAGAGGAGGGAAAGAGACAGGAGGAACAGAATAAAATTGACTAATGACTAGTGCATCAGAAACTACAGAATGGTGGGCCACACTCAACATCCGAAACTAAATGCACCAAAGGAAATGTCTTCACAAGGCACTGAGTCTTGCCCATTGCTGGTTTTCCTGTTACTTTTATTGACATGAGACCTTGATCTGGACAAGTTGCAGAGAGACTCATATCTGGACATGTCATGCTGTTCTGCTAACAGGGGAAAACTCGCTTTGACAGACATGTCTGCATACAACTTGGGCCCTCTATTGCATCTGTACTGACATGTGTTTGCCACATCATAACATTTTATATATTTTTTAAGCTTTTTTTAAATATTTACTTTTGAAACTTTATATGAAAAATAATCAAAATCTAAATGAATAAAAATTTGCATGCTTTGTATAGACACTCATGCATGTATGTAATTTTATTATATTAAAAGTCTGTAAATTGTAGTTAAATATGAGAATTATATGAATATTTTCCTTATTAAAACAATTTCATAGCCACTCTGGATATTTTGTACTATTTTTAAGTTATGTTCCAGAATCTAACATTTATTCATACCTTTTAAAAATTCAGTTAAATTATTGAAATCATTTTATCTGCAGAGCAAGAACATGATGCCCTCATTGAAAGATTGAAAAAAGAACGGGAATTACAAAAGAAAAAACAAGAGGAAGACAATTTGACACTGGAACAAATTAAAGATCAGGTACTCTCTTAATTTTCATAAAAATATTTTTAAAATTCTGTAATTGTCTTTTATTTTTATTTTATTTATTTTTTACTCCATTTCTCAACTTTCTGTAATTATTCATTATATTTCATATCCAATACTAGCAATGATACTGGCATTGCCCAGGGGAAGATAACTTCAAGTATAGTGTAGGAAAAAATATTAATATATTTTCATTACATGACACATTGAAATAAAAAAGATAGTTTATAGTTTATACATTTAAAAGTAGTTATTATTGAAAAAATATTTGGATACACAAAATAAACGTTGTTATTAGGGATTTTGAGTAGTCAATATTAGTGCTTCTCCCATTGGGTGCTAATATGGAAAGTTGTTTGATGATTCAGTATAGAACTGACCTTGTGAAAATAATCAGGAACTCAGGTTGAGATCTATAATTTAGTAACATTGTTCTTGTGTCTTGTTCATGTTCATGGCAAAGCAGGGCTCTTCTAGAAATTGAAGTCATTTGAATTCAAAGGGCAATTATGAAAATCCTGAGAATGGCCTCTTTTTTTGATTACCACAACTAGGATAGTTGCCTTGATGACGCATGGGAGGAGGTGTTTGATTGTTTCAATTCACAGCTTTGAAGTGTCAAGATTTTTATAGGCACGATGGGCATTTCAACTTTTAAATGAAGCCTGTTGTATCTTAAGAGAGTTCAGGAATTAAATTGGGCTCTGAATAATTAATAGTCTCCATAATTATGTCAGATAACTTGCACAGCTAAACCTTTTGCAACATTTGACCATATCCTCCTCACTATTTGTGAGGTGTAGAAACATTTTGTACTTCATAAAAAAACTCAATATTTCACTTCATTTAGTTAGAAATGGAATAGTGTTCTCTGTGATGCTCAACCTCACGTAGCACAACTGAATGTCTTTTGAGTTTTAGGCAGTAACTTACATATCACTACAGTCTCATCTTTAAGAAATTTTTTGACCTTTTCCTTGCATCCCCAAGAACTTAATTTTGCACCCTTGGGAGTGCTGGTTAAGAACTAGGAATGTAAAAAGAGATAGTTAAGTTAATTGTATTACAAATAAATCATAAAAATAATCAAAGAAATCTACCTGGACTAATTTGCAAGAGTAGCTGTGAACAGCCTCTAAATCATAGAGATAAAAACAACTCACAATAATTTATAACAGTTCTCTTAAATTGTTCCTTACTTACCAATTGGTTTGGTTGATGTTGTTTAAAGGTATAGCAACCTCGATGAGTTATTTAATGCCAAAATCTAAATATTTTGAATGCAATTGTATGCCTTCAACTACAGATATTTTGTACATAATTTTATACTTTTGGGGAAGACATATGTGTTTATATAAACATATTTCTTTAAGGTATGACATTATGTTGACAGTTTCAGTATTTTCAAATAGTTCTCTCATGTTTTTTTTGTTGTTGTAGTATTTATGTTTTAGAGTTGCTGAGTGCATTCAGTTAAAATGTGAGTGTAGCTTGGTATGTTGGTTGACTTTCATTCTTCAGTAAGTATGAATGGGTGAGGATTGTATGACCTCTGTGCAGCTGAGACGACATTACTTCAGCCGTTCTTCCTTTTCTAGACACCTGTCTCCATTCTCCCAGGACCAGTTTGATTGTATGAAGCTTGTTATTTTCGTTATCAGTTCAGCTTTTCTTCTGCTTAATGAAATTGTCTATATCACTTTTCAGGTCCACATAAGGGATCCTAAAACTATTATCAAGGGTTTAATTTCAGGCAGACTTTGCAGCCGAGTCTGTGTGGTCATTCCACTTAATTCTTATGTGGCTTGGGATTCAGCATAACACTATTTCTTGAATCCAGCCTGCATAGCAATTTCACCAGCAGTGGATTGTCAAGTTTTTTTTTTTTTGTTTTTGCTATTATAACTGAGTTGAAAAATTTTTTTTTAATCAAGTTCACTCCACACAAGGTAGTAAAAACCACTAAGACACAAGGGGTTACTGAGTGTGAAAGATTTAGATACATTACTAATGAGTGAGAACAAAAAGAGTAATTGGGGGCAGTAGATAACAAATGACATTACATTTTAATTTTTGAAGATTAAAGTTGCCTGGAAAGCATGGAGCTGGAAGGGAGTTTCACAAGCAAGAAGTGTGAGAAAAAAACTGTTAGCATGGAATTTATGGTTATATCTAGCTAACTTAACTGTAAATTGATGACATCATGACATCAATCTAGTACTGCGCTTAAATTCAAAACATCTAGGTACCATAGTGAAGAGCACATCCAAACAATTACCATGAAAATATTTATAGAAAAGACACAAGGAGGCAACTTTATGCTGGTGGGAAAGTGATTGAAGCTGAGATGCCAAATCAGGACTGCTAATATTGCTGATTCTTCTTTGGAGTTAATCAAGGAGCTCTAGATAAATAACAGGGGCACCAGCCAATATGTGGCAGTAATATTCTAAGCATGGGCAAATGGTAGACTTACTTAGATAGATTCTGGAGAGAAAAATTGTCTTGCACAACACAGTGAACCAACTTCAGTTTTCAAGTGTAAACTTGAAGCCTTCTAAATTCTATGGACACGAAACAACAAAAAATACACAAGGTAGAGAAGGCACTTTTTTATTGTCAAGGAAGTCTACCAAAGTTGGGATTTACATCGATTGCAAGGCTTCTCCTTGAAACATCCTCTAAAGTTGTCTATCAAGTGACTAAAAAAAAAAAAATCACATACAAATACCAAAGAATTAATGAAGCCTTATGCTCTTGGAAGTTGTCAGGATCATTATGCAGGAAAGAAGCGGAAAGGATGATGACACAAATTTTAGTGTCTAATAAAGTCATCAAGAACAAAATTGTTAATATGAGCTACAATATTTTAGAGCAAGTGATCAATTATATCAAGGGGTATCCCATGAAAATATTGCAACTGGATGAATTCATGAACATTACTCATTGTAGCCAACTATTTACTGTCGTCCAATATATAAAAAATGAAGAAGTCTTAGAACACATTTTATTTGGTGAAACACTGAAGACTATCACGAAAGCACAGGGTGTATTCAACCTTGTAAAATAGAATTTCTTGTAACATGGATTGAATATGAATGATATTAGCTCTAACTGTAGAGATGGTGCCCCTGTTATGCTCAGAAATCAGTCTGGATTCACAGCCCTCTTGAAAAACTGAGTTTCTGAGGTCTGTGTAACACATTGCTTGCTTCATTGACATGCATTGGTAGCAAAAACTTTATCAAAGAATTTGCTAGCTGTTTCGTCAGATTATATGAAGATAGTTAATTCGATCAGAGAACATTCCCTGAAACGTCATTTATTCAAACATTTTGTGAAAGTATTGATTCTGAAGACATTATTCTTTTGTATCATACAGAGGTAAGCTGACTGTCCTGTAGATGTGTCTTGTAATGCATATTTGATCTTTGTATTGAGTTAAAGACTTTTTAGAAGTGTAAAAACTTTAGTTCTCTTCTGCATTCAAATCTGAATTTTTACAAATGTTTGCTTACTTGATGGACATTTTTCTCAGTTAAATGAAATTTTCCCTTCAAAGAAGTAATACCAACATTATTATTACACATGAAAAGTTGGCCATTTTCAAAGCAAACATTTCTCTGTGGATGAATAATACTGAGAAAGGAAATTTGGCCTGGTTTCCATCCAATGATGTAACAGATCAGTCTCTACTCTCAGATGTTACTGCCTTAATACAGGTGCATCTTCAGCAGCTGTTGAATGATTTTTGATGGGTATTTCTATGTAGGAAATTTGGAACTCAGTGACCATTGGATAAAGAACTGCTTTACATCAAAACCAAGTTTTGAAACCATCTGGATACTCAGCATATCACCTTGCTCTCAGGAAACCTGCATTTCAATTTAACTGATAAAAAGCAAGTACAGATATTTCATTAAAGATTAAAATGAGTTAACATTTTATATTTACAAAAATTTGTGTTAATTACCTGTTCAAATTCATTAAATAGTAGATGATAATTTGAGCTGAAAACAAAAAACTTGGTTTTTGTCTTATCAGCTAGGGTTGCAGGATGAAATATCAAGATCTCATGGTCTGCTGGATAAGAAAAAGTTATGAATCACTGTTTTACACTATTGGTTCAATGTAATATGTGACATGTTTTGGAAGAACAATGTTGTTTATAAGAATTGAGCTCTTCTACAAAATGGTTTCTCTTTCCCACTATCCTTCTAGTCTTAAATATGGAGTTTTTTTTTCACTACAGATTCTTGCTGGCAAACAATGCCCTATCAGAATGGAATAGTTTGTTTGTATCATCTTGGTTAAATCATTTCCAGGTTTTAGTATTTCAGAAGTTTGGAGAATGAGATATTGCAACACTTGGTTGGAATAGTACACAAGGCATTAATTTCTTAAGCTCAATATTCTCTGCTGGTTTGCACAGGACTGAAAGCACCTGTGTTTTATTAAAACAACCCATATGTGATATTTGCATACCTCAATGATTCTTATTTAAAAATGTTTAATAAGGATCATTGAGGTATTCCAGTATCATATTTCATACTGATCCCTAAAATCACATGACTCAAATATTCATGTTTGATTGTGTCTCTTTCTGAGCAGTCTATTTTCAGTGCTTTGTGATCTAATGAATGAGTGACCCAAATAAAATATCTATTCTCAAACTACCTAAGAAATAGTGCCTACTTTGCTGTATAGTATTTAGTATCATATTTTAATTCTGCTTGTTCCTCTGTTAGTAAGTTACTTAGCACTTGCATTACAATCTGCCATTACCGCAAATAAATAATGGACTATTCCATTTTGATTGTGAGAAGGAAGAAATATTATATCAGAGATGATGTTATGGTTTAATGGAGAAAAAAGCATACCTAATAATAAAAAGGAAAGGGAAGATAGAGGAGGCAATAATGCTCTCATGTGTTTAAAGTCTGCATCAGTGAAATGGAAAACTTTTCAGTTTTTAATCTTTTTTATTTTTACCT